GGGAAGGGAAACACATGTAGATCCATGGCTGATTCATGTCAATGTATGGCAAAAACCACTACAATATTGTAAAGTACTTAGCCTCCAACTAATAAAAATAAATGGAAAAATAAATAAATAAAAATTTAAAAAATAAATAAATAAATCCGGTCTGTCCCCAAGCTCAAGCGGGTGTCTGGGAATGAGACTGTGGGTCTTCTGAGCAGGGACAGAGACGCCGTAATTGCAGGTTGCAGAGTGGAATCCCTGAAGGTCCCAGAGGAGCTCGTGCTGAGCCCAGCGCCATGGAGAATAGACAGGTTCAGACGACGCTTTCCCTCCCACCTGAGTAAGTCAGGGTCCTGGGTTCTGGTCCGACAAGCCACTAGCAACTGCGTGAGTGACTCAGGTGGGCGTCTTGGCCTCTGTAAAATGAGACAGTTTCCCCAAGTGTTCTCTGTGGAATAGGAAACCCACAAGATAGTCCAAAAAGAATAAGTGTTGTTTTTTTTTTTTTTATAACCTCTGTGTAATTTATCCCCCTCTTCAAATACACAGTGTCTATTTACATAGTAAAAATACCTGTTTAAAATGGTCGAAAGCAGGATTTCCCAAGCTTCTTTGACCCTGGAGCCTCTTTTCCATACAACACCTATTCACATTTTCAGAATTAGAACTCAGGGGAATTGCTGGATCCAGTGACCTCTGAGGTTCCTGCCAGTTCAACAGCCTCAGATCCTGAGATTACGCGTGACCAGGCTGAGCTCTCGAGAGTGGTTTCCTTTGTGTCATCCTGGTCAATTGGTATCTGCTTGCTTCCTGACTGAGGGTGTTAGACTCCACAGAGTCTTCACGTCTCCCGGAGCAGCAGCCTCTAAAGTAGGGGCACACACTGGGGGCTCGAGAGAGCGCAGTGGGTTGCAGGAAGTAGAGACTGCAACTCTCATTTGCAATTGGTTTTTATCTAAAAACAAAGCTATCAAGCTTTAATTTAATACACATATTTATAATAGTACATGTACGCAATTTGTGCATACGTACACACACACACACACACACACACACACACACACACACACACACACTGGAGGTACACTTTTAAAAAATCGTCACTGATCGTGGTACATGATCAGAAAGGGAAACCAGGGAATGCCCTAGTGGTCCAGCGTTTAGGACCCTGATCTCACTGCCAAGGGCCCAGGTTCAGTCCCTGGCTGGGAAACTAAGATCCTGAAAGCCGATGTGACCAAAAAAAATTTTTTTAAAAGGAGACCACTGGCCTAGAAAATGTACCTCAAGATATTAGCTTATATTCATAATCACTAGTTCACGCAGGGCCTAGTAGGATGGAAAATAGGTGTGTAACATCTCACACGTGGTGCGGGTATCTTAGCTGCTTGATCTTTCCTTTGTGATGAACAGACCTAGAGTACCGTGCCTGGTATATCAGTTCAAAACACACATTAAAGAACTTGATTTGCGATAATGAGTGCACATTCTGGGCCTACCCGGTTTTTCTTGGAAATGTTTCCCTTACATCACAAAACTGCCTCCTCTGTTGTCCACTCAAGAATTTCTGTTCAGCTAACAGATTTCAAACACCGTTTCTAAGATTCAAAACAGTGAAATGATACCCGAAACCGTTATAAACTTGTTACCAATCAAATAATTTAAAGAAAACAGAGGGATCGGGTGGAGAGGGAGGTAGGAAGGGGGACCGGGATGGGGAATACATGTAAATCCATGGCTAATTTATTTCAATGTATGACAAAAACCACTGCAATGATGTAAAGTAATTAGCCTCCAACTAATAAAAATAAATGGAAAAAAAATAAAGAAAACAACTCCCACTTACATGATTTCTTCATAATTCAAACTAAATTCCTATATACCGTTCCCCTGAGGTTCCCTAATTGCTTAGCAAGCCATTTGTGGTCCCTACAGGATGTAATCCGAGAATCAAAGCAGAACAGTCTGAGAAGTACAAAGATGCTTTACCCACTAAGTCTTCAGCTACCTGCCTTAAATCAGAATGCTGTGGAGGAGCACAAACTTCAGAATGAAAGGCCCAGCCTGGTCGCTCACTGCCGGTGAGGCGATAGTGCATTTGCGCCCAGTGAGAGGCTGTGTTCATCTCCCTCCGACTGGAAAAGGGGTCCAGGAGGACGGCCGATCGGACCCGAAGCCCTCCCGAAGCTGTCCCGGGCGCGGCTGCCAGCTCCAGGCACCGTCCCCCACCCCGCCCACGGCGGTACCTTGGCTCGGACGTTCCCAGCTGCCCTGTCCATCTCCTCTTCCTGGGCTTTCTGCTCTCCGCAAGAACCATCAAGCAGCACAAGAACAAAATGAGTCTTGAAAAATAAGGCATCCTGTGAACGTCTGTGATGCTGCAAGCTGCCTTCCAGGGGCCTGCAGCAGGGCAGATCCCCGTAGGCTCAACCATTGAGTCGGTCTGCCGCCTCGAGCCGGCGCTGCGAGCGGGGCATGGCTGGCCCAGCTGAGTTTCCCGATCTAATATTGATACCGAGGCTTGAAGCCAACCCACTTCCCACCCCTTTGGGCTGTCGTGACAGCTACAGCAAGGCTCAACCATTGAGTCGGTCTGCCGCCTCGAGCCGGCGCTGCGAGCGGGGCATGGCTGGCCCAGCTGAGTTTCCCGACCTAATATTGATACCGAGGCTTGAAGCCAACCCACTTCCCACCCCTTTGGGCTGTCGTGACAGCTACAGCAAGGCTTTGCCGTCCCTGCTACTTAGGGATTGGCTATTAGTAAGTTGGTTCTCCTGTGAAACTCAGCTTCCACTGTGTCCTAGCAGAGCTCTGGTTAAAACTGTTACATAAAAAAAAAAAAATAAATCTCTTGAACATGCCAGCTTTTTGCTGAGATCATTAATCCATCTTGCTGGCGACATAAAACCAGTCTGTCACATGCACCAGGGAGCAGGTTGGATTCTGGGTGGATTTGCAGGAAGGACTTGTGGACACAGAGATGAGCCCCTGACTGTGCCCAGGAAATGCTGAGCAAACACGAGATTGACCTGTTTCCATAGGCTTGCTTTATTCCTTGAGCTAAGAGCCTGTGCTTTGTCTATGGACAAGGGTGTTTGGTTTTTTCCCCCAAATACATGTCTTTTTTGTTTTCTTTTCAATCTTATCAAAGCATAAAATGCATTTTTATTTTGAAAGAAAGCATAAACCAAAGGAGAATTTGTGATTATGTAAGTTCATCTTCCTAGCAGGAACACTGGACGAATGCTGATCTTTCATCCTAAAAGATATGTGAGGCTTGATCCCTATCCTGGAATATGGCATCATGAACATTAGAAGTGAAAAGACACACATGGTTGTTTCATCTACTCAACCAAAGAAGATGTTTAAAAACGACTTACTGGGGACTTTCCAGGTGATCTGGTGGTTAAGACTCCAAGCTTTCTATTGCCCCAGAGCAAGTTCGATCCCTGGTCAGGGAACTAAAATTCCACATGCAGCAAAAAACAAAACAAAACAAAACAAAACCTACTTATTGCTTGCTTGCTGCATCCTGGGAATGGAGATGACAAGTGTGGCAGAGACATCCTTACAGGTGGGGATGGAGGTCAGAAGGGACAATAGCTAAAAGTGAAACAGCATTAGGGTTTTCTGAGGAAAGAATCAAAACCAGTTCTTCTGATCTCTTTAAGCAAAGTGGTATGAAGTGATGCACTTTATTTTTTTCAGGCACTTCTAACTGGTATCAGTTAGGTCAGAGAAATTGTCATAATAAAAGAGGATGAGGTCCTGGCCTAAGGGAAGGGGACAGGGAAGACGGAAGAATGAGATAGTCAAGTTATCACCGAAGGGCATGCAGTCCAAGGGACTCTCAAGAGTCTTCTCCAACACCACAGTTCAAAAGCAGCAATTCTGTGTTCAGCCTTCTTTATAGTCCAACTCTCACATTCATACATGACCACTGGGAAAACCATAGCTTTGACTATATGGACCTTTGTCAGCAAAGTGATGAATGCTTAAAAGTTTCATTCCTGCTGAAGATTTAGTGAGGAAGAGATGTGATCTATGAAAAGTTCTTTTCCATAAATTTTGTTCCAAAGATCTCTTTTCATTTCTGTCATTTGGAACAGGCCAATCAGGGGCTGACTGGCTGGGAGCCTAGAATCGTGCATGGATGTTGTTGGTCTTGAAGTATTTGTTTTGTTGCACTTCAGATGCAACTTACATCTTACCAAGTTTTCTCTTTAAATTTTACTTTTAGTAGTTCAATTCCTGTGATTACAAGTAATAAAAATCAGTTGGAGATGTGTAACATTTTTAATAATTTTTTTGAAAGATCATTCACACACCATAAACTTACCTTTAAAATGGGGTTTTTAGTTTTGCACAACTGTCACCACCACCTAACTTTAGAACAGCTTCACCTCCTCTTCATTCTCCATTCCCTCCAGCCCCGACAAACACCAGTCTTTTTGTATCCACGGATCTGCCTGTTTGGGGCATTTCGTACAAATGGAATCATGCAATCAAAGTGGCTGCACCATTTTACATTCCCACCAGCAGTGCATCCTCTAGCCATCATAGTGGGTGTGAAGTGGTGTCTCACTGTAGTTTTGACGTGCAGGCCCCTAATGTCTAATTAATGATTCCATCTTTGTGCAAATGGCTATTCAAATCCTTTGCCACTTTTTACCAGGTACTTATTTTTGAGTTATGAGTTCTTCAGATATTCCTGATACAAGTCTCATATGATCTACATTTATTTTCTCCCATTTTGTGTTTTCACTTTATTAATGTTCTTTCAAACACAAAAGGTTTTGCATTTTGATGGAATGTAGCTTATCGACTTTTTCTTTGGTTGCTTATGCTTTTATCTTCTAGCTAGAAAACCACAGTCTAACCCATGGTCACGAAGATTTACGTTTTCTTCCAAGTTTTTGTTCTTACTTTAAGGTCTTAAGATTCATTTTGAATTAATTTTGCATGTGGTGTGAGGCAGTGGATGTATAACTTTAACATTTTTTTATTTCTCAGGACCAAGAATTGTTCCTAGTGGCTCAAGATGAGGGGTGTGGAAAGTCCGCAATAAGTTACATGCTGCCAAATTAGGCCAGAGTTAGGTGGGACTCTGGTCACACAGTCTTGTGCCCTACATTAAGGGTTCAGGCCTGTTTTAAGGGCAATGTTACACAGGCCCTGAGCTTTTCTATTAAAATGGTACAAGAAATCTTTCAGCATTATGCACATTCCTGGAATAATTAAATTTATAGTGATTATAAAGCTAGGAATATAATACAACTCAAAAGACATACAAGTCCAAGGAGAGCATTAGAGAAGTTTCCAGCTGCAGTGTGCGGCAAGAGTGGAGACTTGTACCACTATTAACATATATACAGTAGATATCAAGCACCTAGTGCATAGCATAGGGAAGTCTACACAATACTCGGTAATAACTTACATGGGAACGAATCTAAAAGAGTGGATGTATGTACATGCACAACTGTGTATGTTCACTTTGCTGCAGTACACATTGTAAACCAACTATATTCCAATAAAACTAATCAAAAAGAACAGAAACTCAAAGAGATTACTGTGCTATTGAGAGACGATATGGCTCATTAGGGTAGTGGCGGCAACATGAAAACTGGAAAAAGGCAAGAGAACATTTAAGGAGTTAGAATGGACAGAACACCCAATGACACAAAGAATTCAAAATCAGGTACAAATAGTCACTGGTTTTATTCAGCAGCTCAAACCAGTTCTGAGGCATTTAAAGAGGCATTCCAAACAGCTCTGGAGCAAGTATAGCCTCCCACAAAGTTCGTACGAACACACTTTTTTTTTCTTTTTTTCAGTGAGCCGCGCGCAGCTTCTGGGGTCTGAGTTCCTCGACCAAGCATTGAACCTGGGCCCTCAGCAGTGAAAGCACACAGTCCTAACCACTGGACTGCCAGGAGATTCCCAAAGTACGCATTTGTGCACACACCATCTGTTTAAAGTTAGGGTTCCTCAACACGTTCACCTTTCACATACTTCTTTGTGAGTAATAAAACAACATAGGCTTTTCAGGACCACAGCCTATATTTCTGTACAACTAAGCCCAATGGTGTGAGGTTTGCTTGTTTCTTGATTCTGCTCTATAAAAATGGGAGGACTCTGGAGAAGGAGATGGCAACCCACTCCAGTGTTCCTGCCTGGAGAATCCCGGGGACGGGGGAGCCTAGTGGGCTGCCGTCCATGGCGCTGCAGAGTCGGACACGGCTGGAGCGACTTAGCGGCGGCAGCAGCAGCTGTCTCTGCTGCTTTACAACCCATTCTGAACTTGAATTTAAAAATCGCTCAAATTTGCTTTTTGTCTACCATTTCTATAGTCTAAAATAAATATAAACAGCATGTAATGTTATTAGCAAAAAAAATAAAGCAAGAAATGTGCATTAAAATGAATGTATAACATAAGCACATTTACTTAAGAAGTAAAGTTCAACAATGTAAAGTTCAACAAATGTTAAAAAAAGTTCAAAGTTCAACAATGTAAAACTACAATTACTTTTGCACCAACCTAAATTTCAGTGTGAGCTGAGTTACTTCACTTTACACACAAACAGCAGTGGGGTTTATTTCCATTTGTTTATCTGTAATGACTTTAGAAAAAAATGTCTCTGTGAGATTCTGGGATTAATGTCTGCTTCTAACCAAATTATGTTCTTAAATATCTTGTATCCTGAGTTTCTGCAGAAAGTAGCTGCACATTGATTTCTCAATAAAACTATTGACATTAAAAAAAAAAAGGGGGAGGACTCAAGGTACCAGGAAGTTTATTCATAGCCAGAAAATAACAAAAAGATTTCTTATTCTCCTGAAATAGGAAATTTTATGTTTTCATAGTCAAAATAATATACAATCTTAAAGGATTTTGTTTTTTAAAAAGCAGTTGAGAATTTTGATGAAATTCATTTATTTCAGTAGAATTAAACTATAAGCAGCATGAAAATGTAAAGTGCTACATAAAAGCCCACAATACATAAAGTTTAAAAGGTTTCATCGGTTTAAACAGTTACAGGCAAAACAGACACGTTTTTTTCAAGCATGCATGCTATTTTAACTACCCTTGTATGTGCTGTGTTGGTCAAAAAAACAGTCATGAGTTACCTAAACCTGAAGATTTGGAAAAGGAGTCCTAAGCCTTTATCTACCAGATCACATGTTTTTTTCCTGGCCTTATGCTATAAATAAGGGATTACAGTGGGGCTTTAAAAATAATGGTTTTCTGAAGAAGCCCTTTATCGGGGTGTTAAGAATGGCTCCAAAGACCAATTTTGTTCATTAACTCCACGATGGGGGTCAGATCGACAACTTAAGGATTTTTAAGTAGCAACGTGAGCTGACAGGGAAGCTGCAAAAGATATGCCACTTCAGATATGTGTATCAGGTGCTAAAAAAAGAAAAAGCGAAGGAGAAGCTGGCCTGGCAGTCGATGAGCGAGGGACGAGAGGCCAACTCAGGCAGAGGAGGAACTGTATGACGTGCCTTCTTCATCAGTTTTAAGTATACACACACCCCATGAACACACGCAACACTATCACACAGACTGAGGCTGGCTCAGAGGGAGAGCAGGGGCGGCTGTCCCTAGCACACGATTTGGCTCAGCCTAGGCTGAGACGGGGGACGTTCTTAGGTGATAGCATGACCTGGTGCTGCCCAGGCGAGTCAGAGACCTCCTGCTAGGAGACCACTGAACTAACACCCCTGATACCTTACATTCCAAACCAAGCTTCAGAACGTATTTTCTCAGGGCAATAAAGTTCTAAGATACTAACCTATAATTTTTCTGACATAGGAGGTCTTCATAAAGTCCTTAGGCTTTTTAGACTTTACCGAATTCAGCTGTAGACAGAACAGTAGCAATCTGTAAAGACTTTAAAAATGCTAATTTATTAAAATTTATGAAAACTGTGCATTATATCATAGTACAATATGTTCTTATTTTAGATACAGACATAAACTGGGCTATCAAATGAAAGCAAATGGTGTCTAACAGTTCATAGAACCAAAGCCCAATGAGAGCAGGAGTAAAAACTAAATTGGCCTTTAAATCATTTTATAAATTGCTTCTTTATTGCCCATAATAAACCACATAAGGACTTTATAAACACCACTCTCCAAAGTACTCAAGATACATTGTGGACAAACTTTTGTCTTCCTGCCTAGAACCTAAACACAATTTACAACACTGAGTTGTAAAAAAAAATAATAATAACTTACAAATGCACTTTTAGAGCATAACCTATTTGAAAGTTGGGGACTGCCTGTATTTAAAAATTAAATCTTGATTAGCAATACTCTCGCAAGTGCCCTCAATGCTGCTACTGAACATGCTGAAGGCAATGTTTTCCTGTGACTATATGTTCTCACCATGCATTATTCACGATGATAGTTTAAATTATCTACTAGAGTCTGTGGAGCTAGCTAGCACTAAGTTATATATTGATTTTTGCACTGAAAATGATCTCTTGGGCTTTGATTAGGTAGGCAATTCTAAGTAGAGGTTTTTCTAATTTCTATCACTGTTACATGGGCCCTGAGCTTTTTTATTAAAATGGTACATGAAATAGTTCAATATTATGCATATTACTAAAATAATTAAATTTATAGTGATTATAAAGCTAGGAATATAATACAACTCAAAAGACATACAAGTCCAAGTAGAGCAAACATTCAAATCTTAAGACCCTCCCATTTAACTTTGGGAAGAAAATCAAGCAATTTCCTGGCTTGGACCCTTCCTTCCTTATTTCAAAGATCTAAGGAGGATTGTTTTCCTTCTTTTCTAAAAAAATCTTGTGTGTGAACTGGAGAGAAGGGGATAACAGCATATCAAAGTGGTTACAGAGCATTATTTCCCCTTCAAATAACATCCAGTAATAAAGATGTAATCTCATTTCCTCAGAAATGTCTGACCAAAATAGTTAATTTCACCAAAGAATGTTTAGGACATAGAGTCAGTCATAGAATGGGCAATCCCAGTATCTCTCACATGAACGCGTTTTAAGCAAGCTATTTGAGGAGTTTTATTTTCCCTTTTCAACTCTTATCTCCATGTCATTCTACATAAGTAGAAACAGAGTACTCAATGGTATCGAGTAACTAGTAATACTCACTGGAACTTAAAATACCATCTTTTATCCAAAAATTCCAAAGGGCTATACAGAAAAGAATCACAAATTTACATAAAGAAAAGCTGAGGCATGAAAAACAGCAAATAAGTTATTTCCCGGTAGAGCAGGTTGGATAGAGAGACGAGGGACTTTGACTTCCAGTCCTTCAACTAAGCAGGACACTGAATGTCTAGATATATTTATACTGAATTTATAAGGATCAAAAAAGGAATGAAGAGTAAATATAAAATAATTATTTTGTAAACAATTCTTAGATTATACCCAATGCAGAATGTTTAATGAAGCAGCTGAGTCACAGCTCTTAAGACACAAAACCATATTATAACTCAAAGTCAAATATGTACTCATTGGCCAGATATATTCGCCGGAATATAAGAGCTGCCAGTGCCAAAGTCAAGATGACAATCAAGACAGCAGACCCGCCGTGGTCGGTGTGGTTGCCTCTCGGCTGCTGGCCCTGGGTGGAGTCTGGGGAAGCAGACGGCCGTCTCTGACTCTGCTGCTGGGCCCGGCGCTGTCGAGGGCTCATGGAGGTGCTCTTAGCTACGGGCTGGGCAGGCTGTTGAAGGGATGCTGCTGAGGGGTTCTCGGTTCCATACTACAAAATTTTAAGAAAGTCAGTTTGAAACTGGCAAAGCAAACTTGTACAATACATACAGGCTATTCAAGAGTACACAATATCACAGAGCAGTAAGGCAAAACTACCAGGAAACCTCTGAAGGCTGAGATGAGTAACTCACCGTCCTGAATAAGCCAGCAACACAACTTATTCTGAGTGCTTGCAGGTGGAGGAGGAATTTACCCGCAACAAGTAAGACAAGGACAGAGTTCATCCACATTCCCCACAGACGGCTCTGTACTCTCCTCTGGCTGCAGTTCCAGCAGCGTCTGCCAGGCGTCTGAGTACCGCCCTTCTTTCAGAAGTCAAGGAGAGAAGCAACTTGATTCCCACTTTCTACATAAAGATTTACCATATTCTAAACGGCAAAAAAGGACAACTCTCAACAGTGTTCTTCCTCCAATGTTATCTTACTACATCAATCATCATAGAACATAGGAAATAATTGCAAACCATATGTTCCACATAGTAATACTGTTATAAAAATTAGATGTGGTTTTCAAAACAGGTTTATCCTTTCTCACAATCCCCATCAACTGAATTGAACACAAGTCCAGAACTCTTTACTGTGTGTTTGAACTGTGTTACTTTATGAGTGTAAAGCATGAACTATTGTCAAGAGTACCCTGGGTATGTGCTGAGAAAAATGTGGAGGTAGGTACGGGAGAGGGCTTTGCCCTCTACAAAGCCCTGGACGTCAACTGCTTTCTATCCTTTCAGTGAATGCTTGGTCAAAGCAAAAACACCACATGGCAACAAGTGATTCAAAGTCATAAATGTGGTTTACAGACAAGAATGGAGAAGGAAATGGCAACCCACTCCAGTACTCTTGCCTGGAAAATTCCATGGATGGGGGAGCCTGGTAGGCTACATACAGTCCACGGGGTCGCAAAGAGTCAGACACTACTGAGCAACTTCACTTTCTTTCTTTCTATAGTTCCTTTTGGAGAAGGAAATGGCAACCCACTCCAGTGTTCTTGCCTGGAGAATCCCATGGACGGGGGTCCTGGTGGGCCACAGTCTATGGGGCTGCAGAGTCAGACACGACTAAGCAACTCACACACACACACAGACAAGAAAGCTCTACAAAATGTGAATTTCATTTTGCTTATATAGATACCTTAACTCTACCTCTAATAACCAAAGTCTTTGTTGTATTGAAAACTTTATATTGATTATAGTACAGCCAACACACATTCTTTCAAATAAGTAAGAATGCATGTTTTATTCAGAATCACTTTTTAAATTGAGTAAATACAAAAGATTTTAAATACTTTTCATTATAGAAAATTTCAGTATTTAGAAGAAATAAAGAATCTAAAAATATAATTCAAATACTCTTTTTAAAAACAGGTAAGAGAATGAGCTTTGTCCTGACAACAGCTATAAACAATAGGGAATAAACTGCTGATCTTAGTTATCTACAGAAGACATTACACTTTAATTCTGACATCACCCCAACATTAAAAGATGTAAATAATCTGAGTTTCTTAAAACTACCCTTTGGAAGCACTCACACGTAGTGGCCCGTAACACAGAGGCAGAACTGGGACTTCCCTACTCCAGGGCTCAGGAGAAAGGCGCTCACTGAAGGGCAGGCCCGCGAAGCCCGCGCTTTAGGGGCCTTACACGGCCACGCTGCGTCACGCAGAGGTTTAGCACTGACGGAGGTGAACTGAGCTACCGTGACCAAGGCAGGAGCCCCCGCGCCCCTGAGATCCCCCGTTCTTCCCACCGTTCAGCCGAGAGGACAGAAGGGTCTGACACAGCAAAAGCACTCAAGGCTTACAGGGAGATGGGTTCTTAAGAAAAATAAAAAGGGCGGTGGCAGAATCAACCCAGAAACCAGCGTAAGAGACTGACTCATCGTAAAGCTTTTATTCACAGGTGCTGCTTTTTTCCAGTAGTCCGAGTGGTGAGCACAAGCCTGGCCAGGACTAATAGGCAGTCTCAGCACCGCTGGGCTGGCTTCACCGCTTCACGGACGCGTGACCCGAAGCGAGCCATCTAACCGAGGAGTCAGCTCCCTCTCGCACAGGGTAATATCCAGTTCAGTAGTTGTGAAGATTAAACAGGATAATGATATAAGGTGCAAAGGGCACACAACTGCTTGTTAAATCTTAGGCATTACTAATATTACTATCGGTACATCCCTTTGAAGACTCCAGATTCAGGTTAACAAAAGAAAAGTCATGACTTTATTTAGGACTAATTCTCACAATTTTATTAGTGTGATTAACGTAATCCCTCAAACAATGACTTTACATGACATTTTAGTATGTGTACTTCATGGGAATATTTATGTAGATACACTGCTTTAAATAGGTTCCTAAATTTCAGATTCCTTTTGGATGATACATTACCAACTAAAACTTAGTGCTGTGATACTATGAAATTATCCCTATTTTAAACAATCACATCACGGCAAGACTGTATGACTTCAACGCTGCAGACCCAGAGGACTTTAGATTGGAGCTGATGGGCTAACTGGACACACTTTTGGTGATTCTCACTGAATCACAGATGCAGAAACAAGTTGGACTTGGCCATTTCAAAACACCATAGGTTTGGGGGCACAACATTTAAGTCTTTGCTGTTTACCTAAACTTGTTCAAACACGTATTGTATCACAGGATGTACACTTAAGTGAGAATTGTTCCTTTTTCCTTCATTAAGATGAAGTGATCATTTCTGGGAACATAAAAATATGTGATGTTTGTATCAAATTAAATTATATTTAAATATATATGTCACAGTCACAGATAAATCCCTTGTAATATGTATAAAATTTTCTATAGTTTAGCATCTATAAGGGAGTTTTGTGTCTGCTTCTTAATACAAAATGGAATGGCTTATTCAGAACCTCAATCTCAGGAAGAAGAAAAAAAACTGATAGACTGGAAGAACATAAGTCGACCATCAGTATTGTTCCCATTTCTACAGAGCTAAAAAATCTGCATCAAAAAGCAACAGATGGCCTGATGTTATCTGCTGTATTTAGACTGTGGGCAATCTCTCGCCCCCTCAAGGATAAAAAAACGTAGCTTATCTGGGATTTGACGTATAACAACTCAGTGAATTCATATTACACTGGCATGTAAAGCAGCTACCTTCAGCCAAAAACAGGTTTCAGTCACCTCCCTAGTGATCAAATTATATAATCACACTCCGAGATAACCTGTACATAAACATAATTAAGAGCTAAACTTGTAACTATATGCAATTTATTGTTTTAACCAGAATTGGTGTCAATTAATTACCTATACCTATGAAGAAGAGGTCTGTGTTAGGTACTTTAAAATCAAAATGGGTGGTGATCACTTTGTAATGCATAGAAATACCAAATCACTATGTTGTGCACAGAACTAACATAGTACTGTAGGTAGATTAAACTTCAAAAACAAACTCAGAGAAAAAGAGAGCAGATTTATGGTTACCAGAGGGGTAGGACAAACAGATGAAGGTAGTCAAAAGGAACAGACTTCCAGTTATATGATAAATAAGTCCTAAGGATGCAATGTACAGTATGATTAATGCAATTAACATTGCTGTTACATATGAAAGTTGTTGAGAGTAAATCCTAAGAGTTTTCATCACAACAGAAACAATTTTTCTATCTTTTTCCATTCATTTTGTATCTATGAGCTACTAGATATTTGCTAAATTTATTGTGGTAATCATTTCATGGCATATGTAGGTCAGATCATCACGCTGTGTGCCTTTAAATTTATAGAGTGGTGTATGTCAATTATACTGCTAAAACTGGAAGAAAAAATAAGGAAGAAATCAAAATCTAATTTACTAAACGTTGTCATTTCTTTACCTGTATTCCTAGTGTATTTTTAAAGTGCCAATCCTCAGATTCATTTATTCAACCAACAAACACGACCTACTACATACAAGGCATTGTGCCAGGCACTAGGGGTACAGTGCAGTAGACAGGCCTGATCCTCAAGGGACGCACATTCCGGGAAGTGAAACAGACAATAAGTAACTGGAAAACAAATTTCAACTGGAATAAGGATAGCTGGAATACGCAACAAGGGACTTGACACAGCTTTAAAATAGACCAAAGACAGATTTAAATACACCACAAAGTATTAGCAGACTGTCTTTATAGGTGACCACCTTCCTTCTCTCTGCAATAGGATGGCTCTATTTTTTAAAAAAAAAACTATTTATGACATAGAAAACAATTAGAATTCTAAAGGTGAAAAGTAATCTGAATATTTTTTTAAATATTTCAAGCTAAAACATATACTGACTAAAATTAATTCACTATATCCCTCTATAACATATATATTACATGGGCAACACATAAAAACAGTTAATCTCTTAGCACATGCTTTTTTCTTATACCTTCCTCTCCAGTCCCCTCCAAGAATTTACTTTACAGCACCCTCTCTCCTGCTTTCTCCACCCCACTTTTTTCTACCCATCTCAGTCTCTTGAATGGGACAGGACCACTCAATCCCACTTTATATATGCCTGGGAAAATCCATATTTGCCCAGCTTTTATTTTAATTTTCCTGACCCTTTAACATCCTCTCTAAACTGGGAAAGCGGGGAAAGATGTGGCTACTCAACCAAACAACCTGTTACCAAAATGACAGTTCATCTCATATATAGAAAGTAAAGTCAATGTTTTTTCCCTATAATCCTAATTATTTAGCAATAACCCAGTCACATTTTCTTAATCGGTCTCTCCAATAACCAAGACCCACTAATGTTTAGAAAATAGGTCTGCTGCTGCTATTGCTAAGTTGCTTCAGTCGTGTCCGACTCTGTGAGACCCCATAGACGGCAGCCCACCAGGCTCCCCCGTCCCTGAGATTCCCCAGGCAAGAACACTGGAGTGGGTTGCCATTTCCTTCTCCAATGCATGAAAGTGAAAAGTGAAGTGAAGACACTCAGTCGTGTCCAGCTCTTCGCGACCCCATGGACTGCAGCCTACCAGGCTCCTCCGTCCATGGGATTTTCCAGGCAAGAGGACTGGGGTGGGGTGCCATTGCCTTCTCCGAGACAATAGGTCAGGGCACAACTAATAAGACCCACAGCGCCCATGGAATCTTTCCGTCAGTGATTATTTACTAGACACTTACTATGCGCAAGGCAGCACTTGTCCAGCAGACAATAATGTTCTGTATCTATGCTGTCCAAAATGGCAGCCACTGGCCACTTGGTGCTTTTGAATGCTTGAATTGTGGCCAGTGTGACTAAGGAACTGAAGTTTTAATTTAGCTTAATTCTGAATAAGAGCAAGTAGTTTATTTGGGAAGTGATCCCAAGAAAGCGTGTGCATGCATGCTTAGTCTCTCAGTCGTGTCTGGCTCTTTGCAACTCTTTGGACGCTAGCCCGCCAGGCTCCTCCGTCCATGGGATTCTCCAGGCAAGAATGCTGGAGTGGGTGCCATTTCCTCCTCCAGGGGATCTTCCCGACCCAGGGGTCAGACCAGAGCCTCTTGTGTCTCCTGCAGTGCAAGCAGATTCTACCCTCTGAGTTTTAATAAGGTAAATATAAACTCAGGGAGCCACATGCGGCTAGTGGCTATTGCACTGGACAGAGACCGTCTAAGGCAAATCTCTGACTCCAGGCCTTTGAGTCAGGGCCTTAACACAGCTTAAGAAACCTGCCAAAGACAGAGCACCTATTGAGAAAGTGGCTAATGAACGTATATTTCATTTTATTCAGAGTCTAGCACTATACTGAAACTAACTTTTCAGAAAAGTCATATCAATAGAAAGAAGGTCCTATTTAGGTCCTACTGTCCTTTCTATAGAAAAGGAAGGACAATAGGACCTAAAACTGTTTTAGTCCAGCTCCATTTAACAAAAAAGAAGACTCAGTAAATATGAATAACTTGTTTTAAGATACTATAATTCATTAGAGGGAGAGCTTGTCTCGAATCTGTTAGGAGGACCAAACTATTCAGATATTTCATCTAGAGATCTCCTCTTCCTACTGCAAATAATTATGATGGTACAGATGTAGATGTAAAAGATAAGAGCCGTACCGATGTACTTGCGGTAGCACCCTGGAATGTTGCAGGTCCGTCATCCTGTAAACCACTTAGTGAAAAAGAGTGGTTTAAGTCCGACTCAGCAACAGTCTTTCCAGATGAATTAACTTCTGCCTATAAAACAAAAAAGACACACCCAAGAGCAGTGTCACAAGAGGAGGTGCACAGCATAACCCGCAACCTACTGAATTCTCTCTTGGGTTTATTTTTAGCTGTTTAATTGATTTTAATTACTACTTTAATATCAACTATCAATCAGGTAAGCTCTGAACACTCATGCTACCCAACACTGTGCTGGTAATTTAGGAGGAGGAGTAGACGATACTTATTCTCAAGGAGCTGCTACTTGGTGAGGACAAAACCAGTACTCACGGCTCACGGCCCACTCCAACAAGCTCTAAAAACTATAAAGTTTTTTGTAATTTTTAGGCATAATCTGACATGTGAGGTTAATAACAGTGTATGTATTTTCACATTAGTGTAAATATTCCCAGGTTTGCTGATGAGATATTAATAGATTTGATGATTAGGAGCTGCCCCAGATCCCACTGTGCATATTAGTGCAAGTTTAATATTTTCTAAAATCTGAAATTCTGATGTACAAGAGACATTTGGCCCTAAGATTTTCAGAGAAGTAATGTTAAGTACAACAGGAATCCTCAGAAGGAAGAAAATAACCAATAATTAAGCACCCCCTCTTTCGGGCACCACAAAAAAACAAGGAAAAGTCTCTCCCAAGACCTGGACATGGAAGGATATACAGGATGTAGAAAGGTGAGACAAAGGAGGAGGCAGCTTGCTGCTTAATGCAGGCTGACTTTTCTGATGGAGCTAATTAAATTCCAGAAGTAATTAAATGTTTGCGCAAAACAGACGCAGAACAAAAGGATATGAGAGATACGTCAGAATATTAATAGCAGCTGTTGTGTGGGGATGGGATTATGCATTCTTGTTATTTTTCCCTTATTGCTTATCTGTAGTTTCTATAATAAGAGTTAAAATTTATTATGCACCAGACAGCTCTAAAGTGAGAATTAACTCAATCCTTATAATACCATACAAGTGCCATTATTTATTTACAGATGAGAAAAAGGTACAATATGAGCAATATGGCCCATGTCCTTCTACTAATAAGCAGCAAAGCTGAGATCTGACCCCTGGCAGAGTATACCAGAGTCCAAGCTTTTAACTATTACTATGCTATAATGCTGCTTCTAAAAATATATTAGTTTTGTAATAAGGAAAATAATTTGTAAAGATCTCAGTACAGTGGAACTATACTGCTTTACTTTCTATCCAAAATTTGGCTAGGCAACAAAAGGGTTTCATAGTTAGAATTTATTTACAAATTTAGAGTACCTTAAAACTGATTTGTCTAGCCAGTTCCTTGGCTTCTTGGTCAGCCTGGCTTGAATCGCTTCCAGATTTTAAAGGCAACAGGACATCCTTCATGGCAAAGCCACATCCCTCACAACAGAAATCTTGTGATCTGGTAGGAAGCAATTTTTTGATGGATATAAATCAGATACTCAAAGGTTGCTCTATCTAAGATACTCAAATACTGAGTGATTAAATTTAAAAGAACACTGGACAACTCCATATCACATTCCTACATGTAAATTAGACAATTTTGGCAATAATTATAGTTCAAAGACAAACAAGTTAAATTGGTTTTTTAAGAAAATCCATGTCAATTATACCTCAATTTTAACTATCTGAAATTAAAAAAAAATCAGGGTTTAGATTTCATTTTTTCCCAATATAATACCTCTTTAAAAGAAAAGTTTTAGATCTATAAGACAGCATACAAATTGCTTAACTACACTGTCCTTAAGTTCACACACAACAAGCCTATATTAAGTCTGTGTAAAAAGTCCATTATAAAGCTCAAACTGGGAATTCTCTGGCAATCCAGTGGTTAAGACAGTGTTTTCACCGCCATAGGCGTGGGTTTGATCCCTGGTCAGGGAACTAAGATCCCATATTCTTTTGGTGTGGCCAATAAAAAATTTAAAAAAATGAATACTATTTACAGTTATTTCCAGGGGAAAAACTCAACAACTCTACTCATCTAAATAGCAGTACAATTTGAAAGATAAAAGACAATTCATGGACAATCCAGACAATGAAATTTATCATTCATTATAATAAATAGAGGCTCAAAATAAGCCTGTTAACTAGACTATTTCCTAATATTAATTTGATTTTCTATGCTTTCATTTTCTTTTTTGTATGACTAGAAGTAAATCAGTATAATACACTGTTACATTACTAAACTTTTACAAAAACTATTTTTTCATATTTCTAGTTCAACATAATAAAACTCTTAGATCTGGAAGAACACACTATTACATTATAAAAAACATACTATTTATAATTTCATGTAAACAAAACACATGTAAAAGTTGTACTAATTTAGTACTTACTGATGAATATTTTTTGTTTCACCAGAAGTAGCACTGCTGTCCACATCCTTTTGAGAATCAGCTGTATCCAAATTATTTATCTTAAAGTGTGTTCACTTTTTTTTCCCTCTATTTTCTGGTCCTGCTGAGCAGCATGTGGGATCTTAGTTCCCTGACCAGGGAAAGAACCCTCGCCCCTGCAGTGGAAGTGTGGCATCTTAACCATGAGACTGCCAGCAACGTCCCAAAATGTGTTCATTTTTTAACTGAGAAGTCAGATGAAGTTTAAAGGAGAAAGTTTATTTTTAACACATTAGTTTATCCATAAGGACAGTATGCTACCATGGTTGAATGCAAAATCATGTTTTAGAAAGCCTATATCACAGACTTAAGAACCTAGACTATATATAGTGAGAAGTTTAAACAAAAAAAGCCTTATTATTTTTTTTAACCTTGTACATGAAATGAACTGGATACAAGAATCAATTTAGAAAGTCAACAAAGGAGATCAAAATAAATGCTATGTATTCAAAGTACATACTATAGTCTGTGAATAGTAGCTACAGGGTATATTCTGAACTTGGGAATAATCTTTAAAAGACAAGTTGCTGATAAAACAGGGAGCCTATCAAACCTTCCTGAGGGATGGAACCCAGGGATCAAACCCGTGTCTTCTCACTGCTGGCGGATTCTTGACCGCCGAGCCGCCAGCGAAGCCAAGCTAGGGTAAGACATAGTGTCATTTAATTAAACATGATAGATCTGAAGGGTGTCAGGCAGCAAAGTTCAGAACCTTACAATGGTCAGACTCAAGAACTGGTCTCCACACTACTCAAAGGAGAGGCTCCTCTGCACCTAATTACTCCTCTGGGTTATACAGACAGAATGCACCTGAGAAAACCTAGACGGCAAAACTGCTGGGGAACTCCCATTCGATAAAGAAAATCTCCTTTGCTTTATTCCAGATCACTTGTTGAGCACTTGCTATGAGGCAGATGCTACAGATACAAAGATGATAAAGTGGGTTTCCTCCCTGCCTTCAAAAAAGTTTCTAGAAGCTTCATGGAAAGCAACATACGTATCATCACTACGGCTCTCTTCTACCTGTCACACTGCCCAAGTGGAGATAAGTGACCACCACTGTCTTCTAGAAGATACTGTGCACTGCAGGCTGGTATCACCAACTACTTTTTAAAGCTAGATAGCATGAAATAAATTCTTCAGAGTCTGATCATCCTGGGGAAATTAATACAGCTACATTTCTAAGCCAGGAAAACTGAGACCAGGTCCCGTGGCGCCAGGGCGAGCACACAGGGCAGAGCCTGTCCGCGGGCGGCGGCGTCCGCAACGGCAGCCCCGGCTGGGCAGGGGGCAGCACTCACTTTTTGGCGAGAGCTCTTCTCTCCTCGGGCGTGTAATCCAGAGACCCTATGGCCCCCTCGCCTTTCGTCGGCATGAACCCGATGATGGCTAACAACGCCGTCCTTACTGAAACAAAGAGCAAACACCGATCTGAGCCGCTCTGCAGAAGGAACTGGGCCTACTCTGAAAAGGAAAAAAAGACTCCGGGTTTCACTGAAGAGGTACGAGGAGGGGACTGCATTAAAATGATGCAAGAATCCCAACAGGGAAGAGCATGATCACTACTTATTCAATAATAGAAAGTTATTTATCCCAAACAGCTTCAATCCCCAGAGAGTACTACATCTTATTATTAGAATGACTCAAGTTCTCTAAGGCTTGTATTCACTGTAAATACTCACTGCTCCATGAAGGCTGCCAAGTTTCAGGATGATGTCCTGAGATGCTCAAACAGATTTTCTTGCCTACTTCAAATCGTCCATTAGCCTTAGGAATAAATAAGGCATTTAAAAAATTATGTATGTGTGTGTTTAATGTTTTATACTTTATAAGCATGAATATATTTTACATATAAATAATTTTTAAAAGATAATTTTTAGAGCATTTTTAAAGGATGGGATCTCTAACGGGATACAGATTTTTGTCTTCTTATAGATACCCCACAAATATTTGTTAGATTCTGAGTGAATAATAAAAGCTGTTTTTAGAAGCTGTCATAGCACATTTTGAAAGTGAGCTGCACAACTGATATCTCTGTAACTGACATACAATGACGTCCTGATAGCCTCCTCTGTGCCTAGTGTGGTACTAGGTTCTGGGAAGGAGCTAAAAGAGAAGACATACCAAGGCTAGGGTAAAAACCAAGGACTCGGTGTCACCTAACTAGATCCTGGGGAGGAAGGCTCTGAGGTGGGAGTGCCTCTCAGAAGGCTGATGCAATTCCATACAGGAACACAGAAGTGAAAGATGAGAATGACTTCAGTTTTGTCTTGGTGGAAGAGCTACTGATGGTGTCCAGCAGTCAGGCAGAAATACAGATGTGCTAATGACAGAAGATAACACATTTCTGGTACTTGACTTTCACAGAGGTGATCAATGAAACCATTTCACAGAAATAAGAGAAAACAGTTGTAGTCTGAACTTGTAGAATATCCATACTTGGGAGAAGGAGCAGAAGAAGAGGCATGAAGTTAGAATACAAGTTCCAAGTAGGCAGTTTCGACTTACTCTCTGCTACACACACAGGGTACATGACACGAATTTAATAAATATTTGCCGAATGAAAGCTGGAGAAGACTTTTCAAAAGAGAGGAAGTGAATCAGAAAGAGCAAATACTGAACATCAGCATACATGGATGATAGCATCGATGAATAGCTGTGGCGTCAAATACCCTCCACCAGTCTCCCCACGTACCAGCTCTTCCTTGAGACCAGTTGGCGCTCCCCACCATCTGGCAACTAAAAGGAGAGCCTCCTAACACAGCAGGGCCCCGCCAGGCTCTCCTACTCCAGACCTACTGCCAGCGTGCCTAATTCTCAATATCACCTAATACTTATTAAGCAGCTTCTATATATAGGAACCTGACAGTATGATTATCTTCTTCATACACCTCCCTTTGGACAACTGAGAAAAATGAATTTCAGAGATTACGTAACCTGCCTGTGACATGACTGGCCAGAATTCACGTCTGTTGGCTCTAAAACGAATGCTCTTTCCACTATAAACACACACCATAGGGAAAAACATTAATTTGGTAATGATGACAATTTTTTCTTTCACCATTTGCTACTCCATGTGTATCAGAAGTTTAACTTAGATGGAAAAGGATGAAGACTGAGAAGAGATGGTGTGATTTCTCAAGCTGCTCTCCTGAGACTGGTGTAGGAAGCACGTTTCAATAGGGTGCTATGTGTGGGAAGCAGAACTCAAGAGATGACACTACAGAGTCAGGATGTTTTGAAGGTTACAAGGAGAAAAAAGGCTACAGCTTAAAGTTGTAGCAGAGACATGGGAAGGTTTTTGTTTCATTTTTGCTTCTTTCAAGTTAGAGGATAATCAAATACACATAAACGAAAGGAAACGAAGGAAGGAAAGCTTTAACAATTAAGAGAGGAATTTACTGGTAGAACAAGGTCCCAGGAAAGATAAGATAAAGCTGGATGTATAGCTTTCCTCTACATGGAGATAAAACATGTGAAGATGGAGAGAAATTCTAGGATATAAACGGTAATAACATAGCTAACATTTACTGAGGACTCTACATCAATTCTTATTCTAAGAACTGCATGGGAAGATGAGGAAACTGTAAAAAAAAAAAAGAAAGATGAAAATGAAGGACAAAGCATCGGGTGAAAAGCTGAAGGAGATAACGGGATTAAGAAGTACAACGGCAGTAACTACCCTTTCCTGAGTACCATCACGCGCCAGACTCTGCACAGAACTTCGTGTACACTAAGTCACTGAACCCAACAACCACACCACGGCAGCGAGCATCACAGGCCCTTCTCAGGTGCTTCAACTTCCTAGGGGTTTTTCTCCAGAAAAAATACAGTCCAAGGTCTGGTCTCCCAGAGTTATAATAATCATGATCCGCTTTCTTTATTAGTGAAAAATGCATGCATACTACACTTTACAGCCACCAGGAAGAGTTATTCCAGAAGCATTCCGGAAAGCCGAGGCTTCTTACCGTTAGGAGAATGATGCTGGGTGGTTTCATGGGGTACTCCGGTGGCAGCACTATTCGCCCATGATAAACTCCTCCATCAAAATCAGAGTCTGGGGGCCCTCTAACTGTGAAGTGCCATTCAAAAAGATTATCCTGAACCAAGACGAGAAGCAGAGAGGGATCAATAACATTAAAAAGTTGGATTGTTTTTACCGTGAGTATTAGAAACATTACTGGGTGAGAAAAATTAACATTTTATATTATTCCTAGGACAGTTTCTAATGCACAATGTCTCAAGTATAAAAGTTATAAGTAAAAGCTATTCAATCTAGCTTTCATGTCACATAAGAGCTAAAATATTTTTTTTAATACATTTTAAAACACATGAGCACCATTTTCGTTGCTGTCGTTTAGCCAAGCATCGGGTGAAAAGCTGAAGGAGATAACGGGATTAAGAAGTACAACGGCAGTAACTACCCTTTCCTGAGTACCATCACGCGCCAGACTCTGCACAGAACTTCGTGTACACTAAGTCACTGAACCCAACAACCACACCACGGCAGCGAGCATCACAGGCCCTTCTCAGGTGCTTCAACTTCCTAGGGGTTTTTCTCCAGAAAAAATACAGTCCAAGGTCTGGTCTCCCAGAGTTATAATAATCATGATCCGCTTTCTTTATTAGTGAAAAATGCATGCATACTACACTTTACAGCCACCAGGAAGAGTTATTCCAGAAGCATTCCGGAAAGCCGAGGCTTCTTACCGTTAGGAGAATGATGCTGGGTGGTTTCATGGGGTACTCCGGTGGCAGCACTATTCGCCCATGATAAACTCCTCCATCAAAATCAGAGTCTGGGGGCCCTCTAACTGTGAAGTGCCATTCAAAAAGATTATCCTGAACCAAGACGAGAAGCAGAGAGGGATCAATAACATTAAAAAGTTGGATTGTTTTTACCGTGAGTATTAGAAACATTACTGGGTGAGAAAAATTAACATTTTATATTATTCCTAGGACAGTTTCTAATGCACAATGTCTCAAGTATAAAAGTCATAAGTAAAAGCTATTCAATCTAGCTTTCATGTCACATAAGAGCTAAAATATTTTTTTAATACATTTTAAAACACATGAGCACCATTTTCGTTGCTGTCGTTTAGCCTCTAAGTCGTGTCCGAGTCTTTTGCAACCCCAGGGACTGTAGCCCACCAGGCTCCTCTGTCCATGGGATTCTCCAGGCAAGAATACTGGGGTGGGGTGCCACTTCTTTCTCCAGGGGGTCTCTCTGACCCAAGGATCAAACCCACGTCTCCTGCACTGGCAGGCAGATTGCTTGCCACTGGGCCACAGGGAAGCCCGAGATCATTACATGTTCATAAATAAGATTATAGATTCACATATTTCCTATTCCATTAGCTCCATTTATTTTTTCTGAAAAATCTCTTCTGGACCCTGAAGTTTTAATATGGACTAACTGCTTGACACATTCCAAAATTCTTCACTTGAATGTCTCCTGGGTTTACTGGAATCTCAATCTTCCTTTGTATGTTTCATTCAGTTTTTGCATTATTTTGGTGTGGTTTATTGTCAACTACATTTCTCTGAAAGGAATATAAGGAAGAAAATCTGTACTCTTGTATGTCTAAAAATATATTTATTTTGAGTTCATGCTTGATGGTTCTCTGGATGTGGATTTAGTTAATTAATTAAATTATTTTTATTAAAAGTTATTTATTTTCATTAAATTATTTGATCTAAAAATATTATAGACTTAATTAAACTGATAAATAACCCCTAAAGCCCAATTAATGAAAATTATTATTTATATAATCAAATAATCTACTATAAATTTGGATTATTTTAGCACTTTCCAAATTTATCCATCATAGATGCCAAAAAGCTTGTTAGTAAGTGGTCAGTAATATTAACATCATATGTTAATATCATTGGATACCAAGTACTTCATAGTTCGCAAAATACTTGCACGAACATTATTACATTTTAGTCTCACTATTACCATGAAAACGAGACGGGGCACATTTAAATACCCTCCTTTCACAGACCGGAAGACTGAAGTAGAGGTGGAGACGTTTGCATAAAAAGCCCAAACAAGCTGCAGAGACCCCTCACGGGGCTGAGTCTCCCAAATATAGAGTCTGGAGTTCTTCCCACTTTTCTCCCTCATACCTAAACTAATTTCGTATCTGAAGCCCCCTCCTTTTTTTTTTTGGCCGAGCTATGGCATGGGGGATCTTAGTTCCCCCATCAGGGACTGAACTCCTGCCGTGGGAGACTGGAGTCTTAACCAGTGGACCACCAGGAAAGTCCCTGAGACCCATTTGATAGAGACCAGACATCTGCTTCTTCTAGAACATCTGATTCTGAATGCCTAACAGAAATACTCAGTGTATACCTTAAACTACCACAACATTGTAAATAACTGTACTTTAATTTTTTTAAAGGGTTAAAAAAATACTCAGAAAATATAGGGAATAAAATATATCAATAAAGCATACCAAACACATTTATAATGATTCAATGCAGTGAAAAAATAAGAAACTCAGAAGACAGAGACAGAAACTGACCTCTAAAGGCTGTGCGTGGTAATGATCTGTTGGGTCTTTCAGCTCTGCTGCTTCTTTCATTAAGCGTTTAACAGCTAAAACAGAATTCACAAGATAGAGATGTTTCAAATATACTTTTTCCACGTGATTAGCAGATTTACAGACCTAATGAATAAGTTCCTACTTCAACAAAAAACGTGCAGAGGACTTACTGACTACAGCATATGATTTAATTATGCGAGAATAGTAATAACGGAGGAAGAAAAGGCAGCTAGGCACTAGAAGAGTGACATATTAAATTAAATACATAGGGAAGTCTCAGAGACACTATTTTTCTCTAGTAAGTACTTATATACACTCCCTATTAGGTGGCACTCAAATATTAACTCAAGTAATCCTCAAAACAACTGAGATAGGTGCTGTTTTTATCCCCATTTTCCAGATGAAGAAACTGAGATATGGGGAGATTATACATATCCAAGGTTACATAGCTGGTAAATGACAGAACTAGGATTTCAACACAGGCAGTCCAACTGTACCTTGTTAAAATATCTACAGTAACAAGAAACATGGCCTCTGGCACTTATGCTCATGAACAGTAAACCCCCTAATATCCTCAGCCTCAGGACTTTCCACTCAATATCTTCTTTGACTTAATGGCACTGTCCCGACGTCACTGAATCTCCACAGCCCTAACTGAATTCCTGTTTGAAATGATTATTTGCTAAATTAAAACCTCCAATCCCCTGACCCCACAACTTTCTTAACGCCACCTGTACCTATACTCACTTCCATCTATCCATGCTCTTGGCTCTTAGATGTTCCCCTTTCATAGTCCCCTAAATTCAATTCTAACTGAGCCAACCCAACCATCTTCCAATTTGGAGTCTATACCCAAACAGCTAAGCATTACTGAATGGGGTTTAAAAAGTCATGGACACAGGCCCATTGACGCTATTATAGAGGTGTTATTAACAACCTCTGCTGGGACAGGGAGTGCCGCACATAATGCCACACAACGTCCTATATCTCTCCAGTAAACCCCACCCAGCACCTCCAAGTGGTACCCCAAGACTACTTCATACCTATTCGCTCTCTTCTCTTCCACCTTTCAGTTAATGGCAGACTTTATCCCCACGATGGGTGACTGTGAGCAGCCAGGACGTTTAGAGTCCCATGTGTATCTGCACCCTCTTTCCTCGAATGTTGGTTCACAAAGGTCAATCCTTTGATCCCACCCCCTCACCCTCAAGCTTTAGGTGCTTAAAAAAATGTCAGGATACTGGTGTAGGATCCAGAATAGCAAAGCCAGAGAAACACCGGATAGCTCAAGGCTCTCTGAGACTCTGCTTGAGAACAAACTAACATAGCTGAACACGCGCCATGAGAGAGGTACGCCCCAGGTGGGCACCTAACCTGCGAGCAGACGGAAGAGAAGAGGGGTCAGGTGCTGAGATCTGAAAGAAAGACAGTGGGAGTTACCCAGCTGGGTATGAGAAAGCAAAGGAAACAAAAAGTAGCCGTGCGGGGGCAGACTGGCATGCTGTGGGGAGAGGCCACCTGAGAAAGAGCTCACGCATAAACCACCAGACAGCTCCTTGTGTATCAGGACTTTGCATAAAACTTCACTTTACTCAAGGGTTCCTACGCTGGAAAAAAAATTCTCAAGTCACTATCCTGTTCCATAACTACTAATATTCTTTTCCATCTCCTACTCTGAACTAAGCCTATAGGCAGAGAATTTGTTCGCCTGATCAGTAAATATTCACCGAGCTCACACTCGATGCTACGTATCCTAAGCTGCTTCAGTGGTGTCTGACTCTGCGGAGCAGATGCTATAGCTACAAGCAAACTAAAATACAGCTTCTGTTTTCAAGGAGCTTATAGTCTGGGGGGAGAAGTCAAGGCAAGTAACACAATAAATGCTTTATTAGACACATGTACACACTGAGACCCACCCTCCACCCCGGGTCCCAGTCACTAGGCTTCGCTCAACTCTTTGCGCACGTCCCGCCTTGTTTCCGACTCCCTCCTTACACGCCCGTTCCTCAGGGCTGCTCCTGCCCCCACCCCCCACTTCATCGAGTCTGGCTCTCACTGGACCCTTAAGAAATTCACTCAGAAGGGTCTCCTTGACGCCTCCTTCGTCCACTCTCAGAGGAGTGACTAGATTCCCATCAGGACACATAAAAGCCCCCGAGGGGTCCTGGGAGGAGGGTGGACGCCAGGAATGCTCTCCAGGTTATTTCCAGTGGTCAGTCAGGTTTGGGAACCACTGCTCTGGAGACTGTGTTGAGCCCCCACTCACAACACTCTATAATTTCTCTTTTATAAAGTTCACCTCTCACTAGTGATTAACACCTGTCTTTCGTGTTCAATAACATCTACTTCACTGAAGTCTCCTCAGAACTCAGCACACAGTAAACTCTCAAATATTAGCTGAAATGAACATCAGTATCTGCCCCCAACAAAATGCTCTCCAAGGATCTGATTAAAAGCAGTGATTTTCAAATTTATTTGATGAGATAAAATCCTTTGTTCAAAGAACAGTTTAAGGAGAACCTCAATATGTAAAACAGATAACAGCAGGCTAGCATGGAAGGACCTCTAAGCTATCTACCTCCTTCCACCTATTCTATCTAAGAGGCCCAGAGAAAAAGAATTGAAAACCCTTGGTTTAGAGCCATGTAAAAATATCATTAAGTTAATATTATCAGATATAAATAAAATCATGAAAGTTGTTATGAAGTTAATTAGTTTAACATGATTGCTGCTGTCAGCAATCAAAGATGCCAAGGAAACTGTTTTTTCTTTATTTCTCATCAGCTGGCTGCATAAGCTGAAGAGGTCAGATTTTATTCATTCTATCACCTTACCACATTTTCCTCTGCCTCTTCCTCACTCAGTTTATTAGGAGAGAAGAAAATAAACATTCAATGGATATTATGAGAGATGTATGGAAGGGTCGGAGCTGCTGCAAGAAAGATTAAAGGAACAATCATTGGCTCAACGGAAACAACAGGGAAAGGGGCAGAGCGCAACCTCTGAAAGAGCGACGTGGCCCAAGGCCCGTCAGCAACAGAAACCGATCAGAACCAAAGGGGTCCAAGATGCAGACAAGTGGACTTCCACCAGACCCCGGGCCTCAGCACATGTCTATGCTCTTTCCAACACTTCAGCGAGCTAAAGCACACACCGACAGGCGCCGTGACACTTCCAGGGCGGTTCCTCCGCCGAAGAGTGGGCGGGGCCAACTCCAAAAGTCCCCGCCCCCTCCCCAAAACAGCTATTACAGGCCTCCCGCTCCTTAGCCTACGCAATTACCCAGCCCGTGAAAGCTAACCACGTCGTACTCCCAGGCACCTCTCCGCCTTCTGTGATGGCCTACACTCTGTCTGTAGAGTCTGCTTCTCTCTAAATCCACTTCTTATCCATCACTTTGTCTCTCAACGAATTCTTGCTGCGATGAGACATCAAGAACCTGAGCTTCATTATGTGCTGAAGCCAGATGTGTGATCCCAGTTGGAGGACTCTGGGTTCTGGCTGAGTTCAAGCCCAGGCCAAGTGAGTTCAAGTCTTAATATGAGGTGCATGGTTTCACATGGCTTTATTAAACAAGTTGATTTTATTAGTTCATGGGCCAACATTAAGGACAATACCATGTGAGAGCCAAAGTACATGGTCACACAGAAGGTAAAACTATTCTAGTGTTCTTATAATCTATTTTTCCTGAAACAACACATACTATGAACACTTCTGTGAAAAATAACATGGACTCTGGAATTAGAGCTGCATTAAAATTGGCTCTGACATTTTGCAGCTCTAAATACTTGAAAAGTCTCCCAATCTTATTCTGCTGCAATGTTTATATCTGTCAAACGAAAGTCAGTAATTTCTTCACGTAATTCTCCTTTCCTTTTCACCCCCTGCCCCTTCCCCAGGCCAGACATGGACTGGGATTTAAGGTCCTTCGATGATTCTCTCTGGTTCAAATATAGGCCTTAAGCATATGAAGTTGGCAACATGGCATGGCTCGCTGCCCGCAAAAGAAACGTCACTGCTATGGGGTGGTCAAGACTCAAAGGACTGCCTGGAGACCAGGGCTGGAGCACAGGATGCTCCTGACCCTCCATCTCTTGCTACCACGTGGCTAGTGAGGAGACTTTTCCCATTCCAGCTCCTCTCTTATCTCTTCGCAAGGTTGTAAATGGAACTCTCCAACCATGGTAAGATAAGCTGGAATAGGAAAGGAAAGGAAGCTGGGGAGCCCATGCATTCCTGCTTTCTTCTTTTCATGGAGGCCACATGATCACTCTGGATGCAATCTCTAGGTTCCCAGGGCCTCCCATTAGCATTCTTCACAGGCTCAGGTAATTCACTGGACTTTGGAGACAACGCTCCAGGAAAAGGGAATCATTTACTGGTCACTCTCATGCATCTATATTCTCTTGGAAAATAAATATCTTGATATCATCACCCTCCAAAGCATGGGTAAAATGCAGGAGACAGGCTTATCAAGGATGTGAAGCCAATGTTATGCTCCCCAAGAGCCTCTTCCTGCTCCCACAGTGAAGACACTTAAACAAATATTTAAGGACTGATATTTCTGCCCAGGAAGATCTTGCAAAGGTAATATATTTGACAAACATTTAAAGAATATCTGAGTTATGGAGATAGAAGAATGACCCAAACTGCTTCTTGTCTTCAAAAAGCTTGTAAAGACATGAAAACGATTAAAATAGAAATACTGACCAAGGATGCACAATTATACAGACTACTTAGCATGCCTAGGGAAGCTGGACAAGGCGGAACCTTAAAGAAGCTTGAAGAATTAATAGGAATTCCACATGAATAAAACGGAAGGCATTCCAAGCAGAGGTTCCAAAAGGGACCAAGGCATACAGGTGAGAGCTGCTCCACCTGGAGAATCACTCAGGCAAACGGGTAGATGGTGAAAATGCAAAGGAGCATAACAGTGGTAGGAGATGAGGCTGGTGAGGAAGGCAAGGATCAAATCAGGTTCAGCCCTCCGTGTTTAGTTGCTCAGTTGTGTCCGACTCTCTGCGACCCCGTGGACTGCAGCCCGCCAGGCCCCTCTGTCCAAGGGATCCTCCAGGCAAGAACACTGGAGTGGGCTGCCACGCCCTCCTCCAGGGGACCTTCCCGACCCGGGGATGGAACGCATCTCCGGTGGCTCCTGCGCCGCAGGCAGATTCTTTACTGCTGCGGTACCAGGGAACCCATGGAGGGAGTGACTGCTACATTTCTGATGGAGGTAATGGGTGCCTTCCCACCAATTTCTCATGTGCCAGCCATCTGCTGAACAAGCAGATAGGGCCCTTCTGAAGAAATCTTGCCACAGGAAATTCTTTACACGTATGTCCCCTTACTCTGTACTCTGAGATCCTGATACTTCGACCAGAACAGACCCAAAAAAGAGAGCAGGGTGCCTGATCCAGAAGCAACTACTGACAGGGTAGTCAGAGGCTTATGAGGTGGCCTCACATAAGAGTTCTGCCCATTATCACAGGTCCATCCTAGAAAAATCATTAAAAATAATTTTTCCATCTATAAAATGAACAAATTTACTATCCATATGCTAACAAACTGGCCTTTAACCAGTTATTTGTATCGTCTTAGCTTAATTGTCCCATCCATGCTGCTAAGACAATTCCATGTCAGATAGAAAAAGGGTTATAGCTCTTACATTGTGCAGCGTTTTTAACCACTTCCTTTCATGCATTCATTACCTTAAAAAGTATTACAAGACAGAAAAAAACAAAGAAGACATTTTCACTATGCTTCCCGCACTTTCAACAAGTTCCATATTTTGGCTAATTCACTTTTTCTATGAACACCAAAAGATCTGTAGAATTTTTTTTTAAGTTTTTTAAAAAACTCTTTTTTAGAGCAGCAGCACTAGCTCTGAGGAAACGAAACCGAAAATTACACAGCTAGAAGCATGTCTACCAAAGAGGGCTCAGCCAGCACCTGCCTTACAGTAGGTCCCACAGTGCAGAAACAGAACAAAAATTCTGAAGGACTTTAAAAGCTTATCACAGTCTCAGGTATGATAACCTATCAGAATTCAGCAAAGTCCTCTGACAACCATCTCCTGGGCCCCACCAACACTCCACTCCAAACTGCACTGCTACTCATTTTCATTATTCTCTGGACATTCCACTAAGTACCTCAGCTGTCTCAAGGAACTCAGTACCGTGTGACCAAAAAGTCACCCTCCGTTTTACCCACATATTTTTTATCAAAATCTACCACAAGTTTAACGTTCTAAACATTCCCCCATCTAATCTTAAAATGAAGCTTTTCTTTCCCTCTTTCTCTTTCACCTCCCCTTTCCTCCCCTGGCGTTCTTGGGAATGGGTTGAGGATAGCAGGGGTGGTGAATCCACTGAAACTGAATCCTATAAACATATTTCTTGGAGTCCAAACCCTTCCGCGGATTTTTTTTTTTTTTAAGTCTATGGCTCCCCCAAACGTTATGACTGATTCTGCAACACTTGGTTACCGAGAACGTTTCTTAGCCTGACAGCACTCAAGTTAACAAAGCTCTGTTCAATCAGTATCCTCAGGCTTTCCTCAGTCTTAGTTATGTTTTTAAGTCACTAAAAAAATCCAAGATTCACAGTATGACTCTCTCCATGAGCATGCTGATCTTGCTGATTCTTACTGAGAAGTTGCTTCTTCCGTAGGAAAAAAAAAAAAAAAAGAACCAATAAAGGTTGGCCAAACCATCACTAAAATCCTTTATTAGGATTATTTAGACCTGAACTGTGGAGTTTCTCCCTCTGAACAAATTTATCAAGGTACACATCCAATACCGCTTATAGAATCCAAAGGTTTGTTTCAAGCCTATCTTAATCTGAGAGCTGCTTACTTTTCGGGCTTCTTTATTTTGTTGTTTAGTCGCCAAGTCGTTTCTGACTCTGCACCCCATGGACTGTAGCCCGCCAGGCTCCTCTGTCCACGGGATTCTCCAGGCAAGACTACTGGAGTGGGTTGCCATTTCCTCCTCCAGGGGATCTTCCCGACCAGAATCCAACCCGCGTCTCCTGCGCTGGCAGGCGGATTCTTTTATCGCTGGGCCATCAGGGAAGCCCGCTTCTTTATTATACACCAGAAAAGTATTTGAGGCTAGGATTGTTTGGCTGCTTCTGTGAATGAAGCAGGTCTATTAAATACAGGAAGAGAAGTTTCTATGCCTGAACAGAGACATACATACATCATACCAGTGTGAAAATCATGGTTAGTTCTAAAGTACATGGCTCGACTGGTGTTCTTAGCTTTTTGGTTAACTGCTTTAGTCCAGAACATTTCCAGAACATATGTCTCTAATTCTATTTGCCCCAAAGACTGCAAACAGGACGTTGAAACGAAATCCTCAAATAAGAGTGAGTCAAACAGCTAATAAAAGTCCGGTGGCGGCGACGGAGAAGAGCTAACGACCGTGTTCCAGGCGCAGGTAGGGCAAGGGGGTGATCTCTATTACTCACGGCCATCACCATTACACCTGTTCCCGGGGATGAGCTGGTAACCCAGGTCTACGTGGCGAAAACGAGGGAAGGGCAGTCGGGGTGCGGCGGGGAGACCCCAGGTCTTGAGGGCCGGAGGTCAGCCTCCTCGTCTGGCCGCGGGCCCCACGCCGCCGCGGCCGCCCGGCCTGCGTCACCCGCCCTCGCCCAGGTTTTGTGAAGTTGTCCTGACGTGGCAGTCGCTTCGTGGCGGGGGCGCGGCTCGGCCGCTGGTCCTCTCGCCGGCCCCGCGACGCGCACGCCGGGATCTGCAGGAGCGGGCGGCGCTCGGGTCTTGCCCTGGCCGGCCCCACCCGGGCTCCCCAGGCGCTCGCGGGACTCCCCTGGAAGGGCGCGGCCGAAGCGCCCCGGCCGTCCTCGCTGCGGGCGGATCGGGGCCCAGGTCCTCGAGACCGGTTCCGAGCCGCACCGGCCCGGCGCCCGTGTGGACCGGCCACTGCCAACTGCTTTGTGTTCAGATCGGTAGCTGTTTGGGGTGGAAACAGTGAAGCAGGAAAGGCGAAATCCAGTGATAAGAAAATGAGAAGGGTTCTTATAACATTTTCCCCCTAGACAAATATGCTTAGGTGCAAGGCAGTTAGTTAAGCATTTGGGGAGATTTTTTAAAAAAGAATTGGGTTGGGAAGCATACATATATGAAAGGTATCCCCTCAAAGAACGCATTGCAGGCTTCATTGTAGAAACTGACGTCACGAAAAAGACTTAAAAAGGGACAAGGATTTAGGAAGGGACTGGGACGATGGAGTGGATGAAGAGGGAAGGTGAGAATTCTATGTGGAATGAAGAGGGTTAATCAGGTTGGACAAATTTTATTTTGTTACATAAAAATGGAAAACTTTCTTTTAACAATATGCTACCCCAAAATATCCCTCTTTGGCATAAGGATTATCTTGAGCTGAATATTTTTGAGAAAGAGCAGGCACAAGAGAATCTCTGAAAACAGAGTAGAATTTACCCCTTCCTGAGGGAAATTCGCGTTTTTTCAAACACATTTTTTTGCTGTGCTGGGCCTAGTCGCTCAGCTGTGTCTTCTCACGACCCCATGGACTCTGCAACCCCATGGACTGTCGCCCGCCAGGCTCCTCTGTCCCTGGGGATTTCCCAGGCAAGAATACCGGAGAGAGTTGCCCTCCCCTCCTCCAGGGGATTCTTCCCAACCCAGGGGTCGAATCCAGGTCTTCCGCATTGAAAGTGGATTCTTTACGGCCTGAACCACCAGTGTCTGAGAAAGTCGACGAAATGGCAAGAGAATCCCAATGGAGGAGATGCTAACAAATCTTCGAAACAGCCTTTACCCCTGTTTAGGTGCTTTCCCTATGCCCTTTCATCGCTGGCCTCCTTCAGTCCCCCTACAGCTTTCTTCTGTCTTTAGCTGAAGACACTGTTAACCTTTGGTAGTGACTCAGGGAGTTATTCAGCTTGTTTTTCCTTTTGTTCATTTGTCTGTTGCAAGGGGTTTCAGCCAAGGACTCATAAGGGAAAAGTTGTACCTTTTCACTGGTAGTGACATGGGTTCTTTATACCCATTTGACAGAGGAAGACAATTGAGGTCTCAGAGAACTCAAGCTTAAATTCTGTTTTCAACTACATTAAAAGCTCTTATCTGTGGCCCCCCAAAATATTGCCTGCCATTTCAGTAAACAGAGGACGTCTGCCTGCCATCAGCTGTCGCAATTGCCTTTGAAGGTGCACCTGAGGGGAATTCAGGATAAAGTAAAACAGGATACTGGCCCTGGAGAGTGGACAGAACAAGTTCAGAGTCCAGACTCTTGCATCTTCTCATAGGTAGAAAAGCACTAAAATCATGAACTTGAGATACCTGTATTTTTGTGATTAACAGTAATCTTTTGTTGTTCAACTACATGTTTTTTACATTTTTTGTTTGGTTGGTTTTTTCCCAGCAAGAACTCCTGTATATTCTGGCTCCTCTCTTACCAATTTGGAACGACTCCTCAGAGATACCTGAGAGGCAGCATCCTAGGCTAAAGTCCTCAGTAAGGCCACCAAATAAAACAGAATTTTCAACATTTAGAATGTGCATTTTTTTTTCCAGTTGACATATCTTTCTGACATATTATTTTTTATCATATTGATATTGATAAAAGGAAATTTTCTGGGTTTTTATTAATTTCTTGATTTGAATACTTTGAAATCCAATTTACAGAGGTTCTTCAAGTTTCATTGACTTACATTCAAGGCTACTTATCTAGAAAGTGGAAGGACCCTGATTCAAGTCCAGGTCTTCTGACTCTGAAACTGGGATTGTTTTCTCTGCAATAAAAAGGAATCAGGCTGTCTTTCTTGTCTTATATTAATGTAAAGCCTTTCTTCCCTGCCATATGAAAAGAGGAACATGCTTCTTAGAACCTCAGAGGTATCCTTGAAGTGCTGTTGATTGCAAGTTCACATGTTCGACACAGTGAGGTCAAACAAACCAAAACGCCAGAGTTTGGAGCAGAGAACAGTTCACTGCAAGGGCCAAACTAAGAGAGTGAGTGACTCCTGCTCAAAAAAACATGAACTCCCAGATGATTTTCTGGGGAGTTCTAGGACTCCCAGGTGTGTGACTTTCTTCTGATTGGTTGATGGTGAGGTAACAGGGTGGTGCACCAGGAATCTTGTGCTCAGCCTGAAGTTTCTCTGCTTATTTAACTTGTATGCAGAGTACATCATGAAAAATGCTGGGCTGGATGAAGCACANAAGAACTGACTCACTGGAGGAAGACCCTTACGCTGGGAAAGATTGAGGGCTGGAGGAGAAGGGAACGACAGAGGATGAGATGGTTGGATGGCATCACTGACTCAATGGACATGAGTTTGAGGAAACTCCAGGAGTTGGTGATGGGTAGGGAGGCCTAGCATGCTGCAGTCCATGGGGTTCCGAAGAATTGGACACAACTGATCTAATTGAACTGACTAATTGAAGTTACCATCCTCCACCCGAGAGGGGCGCCTTAGTTCCTATAGAAAGACTAAAAGATATATTGTTTTATATATCTCCCTTGAGGAGGCACTAGAACTCTGATTTCTGGCTGCACTATTATTTCTTGAGTGTGTTTCCTTTGTTTCTGCATTCCATCACTTCCCGTGTTAGTAACTGTTTGAATCTGCCCTTAGAATTTTTTTCTATTGACCACGCTGCTGGGCATGCGGGATCTTATTTCCCAGATCAGGGATGGAACCTGAGCCCCCTGCGGTGGAAGCGCAGGGGTCCTAACCACTAGACCATCAGGGAATCCCCAAAATGTTTTTGTCCTGGTCATAAAAGTAATAACATGCCTGATGTTTAATATTGGAATATGAATAAAATACAACTCTCCTATAGTTCTTTTCAGAAATGACCATGATTAACACTGTAGTGTAGTGACCTTTAGCCTTTGTTTAGGAAGCATAGGTATAACACAGTTGAAATTCTATTATTTTTTTATACTAAAAATATCTGTCATCAGCTAACTGGATTACTTGTTTTGTAAGCAGCAGCGCTATCATAACTTGTATAGTTAAAAAAGAAATGGCAGGCCCAAAATGGAGTCACTTGTGTTAAGCCCCCCATCAGCAAACCAATATTCAATACCCAACCTAATTGCAGTTACAACCTCCTCCAAGAATGCATTCTTAACTGGTCAGTCTGGAATTTTCTGGTCGGCACCAACGCGGTAACCTTCCACATAGTTCCCTGCCATGCCAATAGGTAGGTTTTCTAAAACTGTAACGATGCACCTATTCCCCAATTCTGCCTACTAAGGTTTCTTGGAACTCCTTTCTACTTGCTACATGGGTAGCAGCCCAATTCATGAATCATTCAATAAAGCCAATTAGATCTTTAAAATTTAACTTAGTTGAATTAACAGTTTGAACTGACAAATTTTATGTCAGTGTCTTCCTAGTATATAATGCAAATTGAAGAAATCTCAAAAAGCCATATATGAACTTTTTATATTTTATTAATTACTTTGAATAGTTCATGAGGTTTTGATTTCTCATTTAAAAAGAAGAACCTGCCATAGATTTTCAAATTTTCTTCAAACCCCAGGATTTCCCCTTTGTGGTGGTTAACATGGTACTACCTTGCTGGCTGGTATTAATGTTAGGAGATGTTGGTCGTTATTGGGCACTCGTTTAAACTCTGGTTACCTAAGCGAAAACGTCAGCCGGAAAGGAGTTCTTTGTTGTTTTCGCGCCTCACCTTTCTGCATTGCAGGCATAAGAGTTTCGTTTTTGTCTACCATCTGGTGGCCAGTCGAGGCATCCAGGAGAGAAACTGCTTCTTCATTTTTTCTTTCTTAATTTCTGCTATAGTCAAAATGTCTTCCCTGCTCATTCTATGTGAACATTTTTCTAATATTATATCCCAGAAAAAAAATATTCTGGAGAGGTATCAAGTGAGTATACCTGAAACCAGGGGAGTGCTTACAATACTAGTGCAGTGGATTCCTTCCACCAGATGACGTGCACCACATTTCAAAAAGTTTTCCCTGGGACTGCCCTGAGGGTCCAGTGGCCAACACTCCGCATTCCCAGTGCAGGGGGCCTGGAACTAGACTTCAGATACCGCAACTAAATTTCCTGCATGCTGCATCTAAAGATCCTGTGTATTGCAACTAAGACCCGGTGCAGCCAAGTAAATATATAAAAAAAAGTTTTCCCCATTATTAAGCAAAGAACATTTTCTAATAGTTGTTTGCAACATTATTAAAATAATTTTTACTATGACTTTCTTAAAAATCATGTCCTTTCTTGAAAACCTAATTTGCTACTGTATCTTTGAATTTATCTGACATCTTCCCCCAACTACAGCTCTTGATATTAGGGATGAGGAAAAGCAAACCTGCTTAGTATTGGGCTTTTGCTTTATTTGCATGATTGCATTTCTTCTTTTTTTTTTTTAAATAAAGGTGCTGTTAAAAATAACAACAAAAATGACAATACTTTATTTCTTACTCCTTAGTTCTGATGAACTGATGAGTTAGACACGAGATCTTTCACTTGTTAAACTTGGCTCTACAGGAAACACCTGCAGCTAAGATAAAACTGGTGTGCATGGGTGAGAGGTACTTCATGACGGCAGCTAGAGAGCCAGGCGCAGCCGCGTTCCTTTCCTAACAGCTCTTGGGCACTGTCCCTCTGCCACCCAGTCTGTGCCTTTTTTTCTTGTGTCCCCGTATCCTGTCACCCCAGTCTGTCATTCTCTGGACTCCTTTTAGCCACTTGCTGAGGGGTAACACTTGGTCAGCGACAGGGCAGTCAGAATAGCTGGGAACTCTGCTCTCTACACTCACAGAATTTTCAGTTCCTATTCGTTAGGAAAATGCAAAATGACCCAAAAAACCACTATCAAAACTTCAATACTTTTAAATAAAATTGTATTTACCACTATAGCATCCACAAACCTTCAAAAAAAACATAGTCCATAGATGTGTGAAACATTCTATTGATGATGCTCAAGGCATACAGGAATTATGGGACTCACAGTAATTCTACAGCCACAGAACATTAGACAATATTAATGCCTTTTGCACAAACAACCTTACCTGCTTCCTGGTAAAATACTCTTTACAATTGTAGGCAAATTTTGAATAATAACCAAGTCATCCACCTCTTTAAAAAAAAAAAAAAAAGTGGTCCTGGACTTCCTACGATGTATTCTTTCATCATAAAATAACCAAAAGGTATCCATACTTTGTCTGCCTTATCGCACCTTGTGAGAAAACAGCTGGGCCAGTCTGACTTCCCCAGAAGCTGAAGCAGGCTTCAGGTGCAAATGTTCTTCAATGGAAATATATACCATATATGCCAGGATTAAAAAGCAAACTTTTCCCCAAAATATCATTCTTCAGAAGAGAATTGCCTTATATTTTGTCTTTGTCCTTTATGAAAAAAATCCTCCAAGAAGACACTATCTCTTGTAAGGACCTAAAGCAATGAGACAAATTTCTTATACATTTTTTATAAAATTTCTTATAAAGGCCATCTAGCAGAATCAGGGGAAAATGGTGAAGACATATTTATTAATTATTCCTGAGCTTATGACTTCGGAGAACAAGCCCTGGAAATCAGTAGTAGTAAGCTTCTTACAAAGGTATTAGAAATACAAGAATATCTATTTGTGGAGATTGTGAATATTCAAGGGAACAAAACACCTGTCCTTTGTTTAACAAATGGCTTCTGAGATGCAGTAAAATCTCTACTGACAGCAAAAGTGAAATTTTTCTGATTGACACAGCTGAAAGCCTGGATCAAATGAAAGAAAAATTAAAGAGCTTCCTCAGAATTTCCCTACATTTGTTAAGATCTTAAAATTAAAAGAGAGAAGGAAAATATTTTAGGTTAGAAAGAAAATCCTCAGGTATCTTTGATCTTGTCAGTGGGTTTCTTCTAGCAGTGCTTACAAATGGCAGGCCATGACCCAAGAGTGGATTGTGAGGTCTTTTTTTTGTATAAAGAAAAGAGGAAAAACACTAGAATGCCTTGGAAGTAGACAGGATAGTGCTTAATGAGAGATCTTTAAAAAGTAACATCTGCAAGTATGAGGGCATGACAGTTTGCAATGTGAAGTGTTTATTGTGTCTCACAACAGAAAGTTAAAAATGGATTTCATAAAGGGTTAACTCCTATAGTTCTGCCCTATGGCAGTGTTAAGCATCCCATTCAGACATTGTTTTGGGTATGAATTCACAAGGTCATTCTGCTTTTCTTTTCTTTTTCATTCTGCTTTTTACAATAGTTTCTTTTCAAGACTGAAACTCCATCTCAGCTTTAACTGTAAATCATTTATTGAAACTAAAAACCATAATATTCTATCAAGACTGCTGAAGGTGCAGGTTCAATCCCTGGTTGGGGAGCTAAGATCTCATAAGCCACACAGTGTGGCCAAATAAATAAATAAAAAGGTCTGTATTAGCCTTATTTCCTACATCAGCGTTGCCTCACACCTTCCACTGTAACTCATATCAACATGTTAGGAGGATATAAACATCACCTTGGCCAGCACTCACAGTTCCTGGTACACACAGATTGAAAAGCTCTGTATTATAAATGTTTTATTAAAATAAAAGTTTTAATAAATAAAGAAAATTTTATTAAAGTAAAAAATTAAAGTTTATCTGTAAGATAAACTTTTTATTAAATCTAATTTGGAAATCATATTGACTTTGCATGTGGATTAAGTTAGAAAAGTCTGAACATCAAAATAACACAACACAATTTTAAGATAATGTACCTCTTTTCTCAATAGGGAAGGCACTACTTCAGTAAACATGTTTACTTTCACATTCTATTTCTTACATTTACTGGGTTGGCAAAAGTTTGTTCAGAAACCTGAACGAAGTTTTTGGCCAACATAATAGTTACAGTAGATAAAAAATGTGTTTTTTTTTTTAATTAGTTGGAGGCGAATTACTTTACATCATTACAGTAGTTTTTGTCATACATTGAAATGAATTAGCCATGGATTTACATGTAAAAATATGTTAATAATATATTAAAGTATCACTATTTGTCTGCTCTTAGAAGAACAACTCAACTTCTCAGATACTGGTTATGGCCCTCCATGGTCTTTGCTGGAGAATGTAAGTAAGATTCAAGACAACTGTGGTTGCAGACACTGACATCTGCAGGGCCTAAAACTGGTTTATTTTCTATTATTTTTAGATATCAAAATCCTTGCACTGTCAGTGTCTGTCTTTGAGCTACTTTACTAAGCACAAGGTCTGGCATATAATAGAGATCCTGTCAATAACTGTTGAATGAAAGAAAATTACGTCTCAGACAATGACTGATGGAGGAGCGCGCCGCCAGCGCAGCTCTTGAGGGAGGAGGAACCAAGGCTGGAGAAGCGGGCTGGGCTGGGCGGACAGGGCCTTGGAAGCGCCATTGAGGCGTTTGACCGCTGTCTGTAGCAGAAACCTACAAAGGGTGTTAGTGAGCAAGCGGTGATGAGGTCGGGAGTGCGGTTAGAAGGTCAGCCCAGGTCTGGTGTAGAGGATGGAATGGCTGGCTGGCTGAGGCCGAGGGACACGGGGAGAGGGCGCCGACGTTCAGATACGAGGAGGAAGTGGTCTCGACCAGGACAGCGGAGGGGAGAGAGAAAAGAGACAGGAGACCTTTGTCAGGCTGAGCTGAAGGGGCTGGGGATTGCCTGGAGGTGAGCAGGAGGCAAGTCAAGAATGCGGCTGAAGCAGTGTGCTGTGGCCCCTGAGATCTCTCTTCAATAATATTCGGACAGAACAGACCCAGGGATGCCCTTTGCTCCAGCCTCCAACCTCTTTTCCAGTCGTAACCTTCGGAATCAGCCATTCAGTTTCCCTGGGCCTCCAGGGCCTGCCAGCACCATTTTCTGAGCTTAGGTCTTTACGCATTAGCTGTGAGCGCCCAGATCCATCAGAGCTGTCATACCAAGATGGAGGCCACCGTCAGCATCAGGGTCAACATGCCTTTGCGGGCCTCCCACACCTCTCTCTCTGGGCTTCTGCTCTGAATGGCGATGCTGCAGCTCTGGTGGGCGAGGGTCATTTTTCCACAAGCTGTTCAAGAAGAGGCACCAATATCTCTTAAAAGGCAAAACAGGTGCAATGGCTGGACACTCTTCTGGGACGTGCAAAGGCCTCCCCAGGATGAGGGCGGGTGAAACCCAGGAGCCTAGATAGTTGCCATTCTCATGGAGAAGAAACTTTCCTAAGTCCTTTTGGGTCTGCATGCCCTGGGTCCTGCCTCCATTTCCAGACAAGCAGGTGAAACTCATCAAGAAGATGGCAACCACGTGACTTTAAGTCCTTTTGGGTCTGCATGCCCTGGGTCCTGCCTCCATTTCCAGACAAGCAGGTGAAACTCATCAAGAAGATGGCAACCACGTGACTTACCTCCCCAGACTGGCTGGTCCCCAGTCTAGGCTGGTGAGCATCTCTTGGAAAGACTCACCCTCCAAGCAGAACTCGGAGCCTCCAGAGTCCTTCTGCCTTTGAGGAGGCCCTCTGGTGCTAGGGGTTTTTCCTGCAGCCATTCCGCAGCTTTCTAACCACCCTGGAGCAATCTCCCAAGCCTCAGACCAAATGGAAACAATAAAGCTTTTTGTGGGGGGAAAATAAAAAGACACAAGTTTCTGGCAGGGACACTAGGGAGCAGGATGATGACACCATCACAGGGAGACAATATTTAGTAAAGAAAGAAGCCAGTTCACTCTGGACATGTTAGATTGGAGGTTCCTCTTACAGAAGAGTCCAGCAAAGGTTGTTAGTGGCAACTTTAAGTATGGGTCTGAAGGATTAGGGTTGAAATGTATCTTTTAGAATTTTCATCCAGATCGGTGTTTTAAGTTATTATAACATATACTACAAAATCAAGGTAAAGATTGAATACAACTAAGATCAAAGGCTTATTCTCTCTTGATTTTCTTAGAGCTTGATATACTAATGCTTCTTAAAAAAATCAAAAGGCTCGTAGGTTCCCTGGTGGTCCAGTGGTTAGACTTAGTGCTTCTATTAACGTGGCCCAGGTTCAGTCTCTGGTCAGGGGTCCCACAAGCCTTGCACACAGCTCCCCCCCACCCCAAAACAGAAAAAAAAAAAAACCGAATGGCTAGAAAAAGGATTTACATTTTCTGATATTTAAATGCTGTTAAGATTATTTTTGGCAGTAGAATTATTTAATGGATTAGGAAGAAAAAAACCATCTTTGTTGAGCTTCTCCAAGTGAAGCACATTAGAGGACTGTACCTATTGATTCTTGTGTATATAAACGCCTCCGTCTGTCAGCCCTCATAAGCCCATGCAGCAGAAACCCTGAACTTCAAGTCCCTCTCTTTCTATTCATGAAACAAGGGCATTTTTTTGGTGTGTGGCTTCTTAGCAGGTGTTAAGTGTTAGTCGCCGAGTCATGCCCAACTCTTTGCGACCCCATGGACTGCAGCCCACCAGGCTCCTCGGTCCGAGATTTTCCAGGAAAGGATACTGGAGTGGGCTGCCATTTCCTTCTCCAGGGGATCTTCCCGACCCAGGGATCGAACCCGGGTCCCCTGCATGGCAGGCAGATTCTTTACTGCCTGAGCTACAAGGGAAGCACTTAACTCCCCGACAAGGGATGGAACCTCTGCCCACTGCACCGGAAGCAGAGTCATAAGCACTGGGCCACCAGGGAAGTCCCCAAAGGAAGGCACTTTAAGGGACGTCTGGCGAGGTGCTTAGAGCAGCGGTCAACGGACTGGGTGCCGAGGTCAGACTCCAGGCCTCGCGCCTTACTTAGCAGTATCTTAACCAAGTCATTGCATCTCTCTGGCCTCAGCTGCCTCAACTGTAAAACAGGGTAACAGTGCCCACTTCTTGGGCTTACGAGGGTAACTATGGAAAAGCACTTACGAACAGTGCACGGCATATTGTGTGCACCCAGCACCTACTAGTATTCCATAGTGTTGTCAAAGACAACATTTTCTTTCCCCTATACTCAATATCAACACTGATTAAAAATTTTGGAAGTAGTTATTTCAATTAGATTTTCCAATCAGAAACAGGATTTCATATATAACATCTTATGCTAGCCCATTCGGAGAACTCTGAGTGTACCTGTAAAGTCACTATATGGTGGAATCTTACTAAGAATCAAAAGGTGGACTGTTAGGAAAAGAATTTTTGGATGGCTGGGGATTAGGGCCAGAGCAGCAAGAATCAAAATCTTGAGCTTACTGAAGTAAGTTCTACAGCCAAAACAACCATGTCCCCATCAAAAGTATGGAGGGATGGAAGTGAAGTCGCTCAGTCGTGTCCAGCTCTTCGTGACCCCATGGACTGTAGCCTACCAGGCTCCTCCGTCCATGGAATTTTCCAGGCAAGAGTACTGGAGTGGGCTGCCACTTCCTTCTCCAGGGGATCCTCCCGACCCAGGGATCGAACCTGTGCCTAAGTCTCCCGCATTGCAGGCAGACGCTTTGTCATCTGAGCCACCTGGGCAGACCATGGAGAGATGAGTTAAAAAAAAAGGCAAATCCCACTTAAAGAGAGAAATGGATCCTCATTTCCCTAATATGAGAGCTGGTTAATTAGGACAAACACATTTATCTAAAGAAACCAGCAGGTCTGATGAACCAGTGATATGCATGCACAGTATATGCAACCTCACAAATGTGAAAGACCATGCTTCCTTTTCAGGAAAGAGACCATTCTGAGTCCAGAAAGATAAGTTATGAACACGCCTGAAATAAAATGAGATCCTTACCAAATCATGAGCACATGATACATGCTTTTAAACTGGCAGCTAATATTCTTGAAAGCAATGGTTTAACAATGGTTATAAATAACATCCTGCTCAAATAAAACATAATATTGAATATTATTGTTGTTGTTTAGTCACTAAGTCATATCCAACTCTTCTGCAATGCCATGGACTGTAGCCAGCCAGGCTCCTCTGTCCATGGGATTTCCCAGGAAAGAATACTAGAGTGGGTTGCCATTTCCTTCTCCAGGGGATCTTCCCGACCCAAGGATCAAACCCCAGTCTCCTGCGTTGGCAGGTGGATTCTTTACCACTGAGCCACCAGGGAAGCCCAATGCATATTATACTTGATTACAAATTACATCCAGTCCGCATGAATTGAATGCATACCATACTTTAATAATCAAGACAATTCAGCTATTTTTCTTGAATATATTTCAAACAGAGTTCCCATATAACCCGTACATAACAATATTGCTGTGTTTTTATTCATTTTATAGTTAAGGGTCCAAAATATATTATGTTCACAAAATAGTACTGTCTGTGAATGTCAACCAGTTTTTAATGTCTATTCCATCAGAAATATGCCACTCTGAAAAAGAAAAGAAATATGCCACTCTGGCCACATACGCTAATCTGTATTACTGAAACTAAACAAAGATGATAATTCAGAGTCTCACCCCCACATATAAGTTCTAATTGAGCTGAAAACCTCTAGGTCAAGTTCTCAACCTTTGAAAATGATCAGAAATATTCCAGAGCAGTCACCATAGCCATGTATTTGAGCTTCATATTTACACATTATTTTGTATACTTATATGTATTTATAGTGGTGGATTTGAGACATGAAAGTGACCACACACAAGAAAGCTAAGTCCCATATCAAAAACAAGTGAAAAAGAAACTGAAGAGATTTTGTGATTCCAATAGCACAGACTCCAGAAACTGAATGCTTAGCCGTAACTCCGACATTTTCTTTAACCAAGAGGTCATCGCCATGCTGACGGCTTTGAGGCAGTAGTCTATATATCAGTGTCGTTAATTAAAGAGTGTACTTACTACCATGAACTTGGGTCTGATGCCATAGCATTAACTTTGCCTTTCCCCCAAAGAATCATTTGCTCTTGAAGTAGTAGGCATTTAAGGCACATTTTAACAAAACCCATCATATACCCAGCTTAAAAATGGAAGCTCCACCTAGTTACAATAACATATATACCTAAGTAACCTGTGATTTACCAGTTAGGCAAATGTCTCTATCTTGAGGATAAAGTTGTTTTAGAAAAGTGATTCTGTATTTGCACATTCAGAAAGAAACACTGTGTAAAAAATATTAAAGAATTAGATTTGTAAGAATAGCCTCCAGGTACCGTGTTGGTTATAGGTTTGGAAATGAGGAAAAAGACTTCCCTGGAGCCCTGGGATCCTACACAGCGCTTCTGAGCAGGAATCATGAGGGAGTTTGGGCACCTTCATGATTTTTACAAATTTCCTTCCAAAATGCGCAGATCCTTGGGAGGGCTCAAACCTCAAATCAGCTACCACCTCAAATTGCAGTTTCCAGCCTCAAAGGAATAGGACTTGGGAAGAATGGACGAGGAGAGGATAGAAAAGAAGCCACAGACGGTCTCGAGGAAAAGTTGCTTTAGGAACTATCCATTTTTGCTAGCATCAGCATTGCTATCCCTACGAGGCTCTGCTAAAAATATATACATATGAATATTTTCTAATACCTGCCAACATGCTTTAGGGCACTGAGCCTTGGGATAGACTAGAATTATCTACTTGGAATGGTTTGGGATGGGGGTAGATTTAGAATCTCTTCACGTGCTGTTGGTCTAAAGTACACACAGGAGGAAGAATCTCATAGAAACAGACATAGCTAACTACAATGCCTCCTCTGGTCATCCTCGCCCACTGCCCTGTAGCGGTTTCCAGGACGGCTTTTTCAGCCACGCAGAGCACGCTGCTGGCGAGCCGAGCCCTGGCTCAGTCGCAAGGTGGGGACAAGCAGAGTCCATGAGGCACCCTGTCACAGCTGAGGAGACTCAGAGGTGACGGATGTGCCCGCTAGGATTCAGTTCTCTGGCCGAGAACTGAAATGCTGCCTGTGGTTGTGGAACAACGTAAAAAAGAGAAAGAAAGAAACTGGTCCTAAATAAACATTTGGATTCTTGCATGGCAAGAGGCCCATCCCACAGAGGCGAAAAATTGTACATATTTTTAAGTTGGATATATTTTTAAATCTGCAAATGCCAGTCACTTCCATTTGGGAAACCATGTAGCTTCTGAGATTACTTTAGCCTGGGTGGCAGGTACAGAAAAGCCTTCGGAAACCCTGCAATTCAGCGACATTCCCATTTCTCTCCAGTGATTGGCACCATTTTGGAAATATGGTCCCAAACGACAGCAATAACACAGCAGAAAGAAAGAACCTCTCTGTATAAAGTGGTTTTAGACATGTCTATTGAGGTAAAGAGTTTTATAAAAAACTGTCACGTAGGGAAGCGCTCTCACAGTTATAGAAATGTTTAGATAAGTTTGGTGCTAATGTTATTCTATAAAACTTCTATTTATATCCGTTATAAACAGGGGACAGGTCTTATTGCTCCTGGAGCTTGCCGCCCCAAGCTGTTCCTCCATGGAAAAATGATTTTTCTCAACAACTGGTAGCAAAGATTCCCATGCTTAAAAAAGTCATTGCTAATGCATCATTTTTTGATTAATTTCCGTTTGCCCCATAGATACGGACTCAGTATGCATGTCCTAGACACCAAGGACAGAACAAAGCTTAGAAAAGTTGTTTTATCAAAGTTTAGTTCCATGAGAAAAAGAAAACATGAAAAAGTGCAAAATATATACAGTTCCTGGCAGTACGCACACAGGATTTTTTCTGACTACAGACCATAAAAGTTTACATTTGTGTAATGAAGTTACAGTAGATTTCACTTCATTGTTAATATACAAGTTTTTGCTTCAAAGTGCTTACTTTATTTAAAAAAGAGAAGATTAAAAGAAAGGGTGGCAGGATTTTTTTTTTTTTACAGCAAACGTATGTCTTGTGTCCCCATCTCCTTCCTCCTCTTCCTTTAGTGCAACACAGGGCAGCAGCTTCATTGAAACGTCTGATTTCAAAAGATGTTCCTGAAATCTCACCTACAGCAGCACCCTAGGCGTCCCGTTGGGGGTGGCTCCTTTCTTCTTCTGCAGCCGATTCTGAACCTTTCGCGATTTCACTACTTTCATTCTCACCTCAAACACTTCATGGATCGCCTTCCGGAAGCAATGAAAATTATAGTCAATCAACCCTGGAGAAGAAAACAAAAATGTTNATTACCTTTTCTCTCAAAGCTTTCCTCTCTGACAAAGCACACAAGAGCCAGGAACTTTGTCACCTCTTTTAAATAGAGAACTGTTGTATTATTCAGCTTTATAATGGCTGTTGATTCCTTGTCATAGGGGGTTCCTGCTCCATCTTCTTTGAGGCTAAATGGGAACAGAAACCAAAACATATTTGACCATTAAGAACTACAATTTGTTACCCAGCAACAAGACCGGATTATCACCAAGAGTGATAACCATAACGATAGGGAGTTTACACTTACAGGGCCTTTCAGCTAAATATCTCAGAAACCCCAACCCCAAGAATGTACAGTGCATGGCGGTCAGGGTGCTACCGACACCCACGTGGCTGAACTCTTCCTGCACCTGAAGGACACAAGCGACGGGTGGAGGCCAGTTCTCCTCCTCTCCGCGGCCCATGAGGGCTTCCTGCTTCCTCGCGACAGAAGAACCAGGCTGTCTAGAGCACAGCCTGAAGACCAAGAAAGGGTGAAGAACTTTTCCAAAATAAAGCAGCCTGAAGAGGCGGCCAAGTGCTGGGCTAGATCCCTCACTGGGGGAAAAAACTGCGATAAAAGAAAGAATTGGGACCACTGATAAAATTTAACAAAGGACTCTATATTAGATAATAGAGTCATGAAGTCATGTTAAATAGACTTAATTTGATATTAAACTGTGGTCCTGTAAGAAAACGTCCTTGTTATTAAGAAACAGAAGTTCAAGTATTAACAGCTATGGTCAAAGGATCATGATCTGTAACATACTCCCAAATGGTTTAGCAAAAACAAATGTGTATGTTCAGTCATCCCTATGGAGCAGGCTTAGGGCCTGGGGTTGGCTCTAAGACACCCCTCAGCAGATACCCAAATCCAAAGATGCTCAAGTTCCTATGTATCTGCATATACCTTACCCACATGCATGCGTGCATGCTGAGTTGGGTCATTCATGTCTGACTCCTTGCAACCCGATGGACTGTAGCCCACCAGGCTCCTCTGTCCAAGGGAGTCTCCGGGCAAGAAAACTGGAGTGGGTTGCCACGCCTTCCTCCAGAGGATCTCCCCGACCCAGGAATCGAACCTGTGTCTCTTGGTCTAACTGCCCTGGCAGGTGGGTTCTTTACCTGTAGTGCTACCCGAGAGCCCCAACCTACACACATCCGCCCACTTTTTTACTTCCTTTTGGCATGCGGGATCTTAGTTTCTCGACAAGGAATCGAACCCATCCCTGTGCAGTGAAAGCCCAGAGTCTTAACTGCTGGACCATGAGGGAAGTCCCACTCCTCCTCCTCACCATATACTTTTAATCATCTCTAGATGACATAAAATGCCCAATACAATGCAAATATTATGGAGATAGTTGTCAGCGTGCAGCCAATTCAAGTTTTGCTTTTTGGAACTTTCTGGAACATTTTTCTGAATATTTTCAATCCACTGGTTGGTTGACTCTGTCAATGTGGAACTCACATAGAGAGCCAACTATATTAGAAAAAGAGTGAGCGAATACGGCTCACTGATAAAAACTGGTGAATCCCAGAGAAGGGTATGTCGGAGTTCACTGTACTATTCTTGCATATTTTCTATAGATTTGAATTCAAAATAAAAAGGTAAATAAATATTTAAGAAAAGGTGTGACCTGCAAACACAAATTACTTGGGTTTGAATCCCAGCTCTCTCATTTTATTGTATAAATTTGGGCAAACTGAGTCACTTCTTTGAGCCTCAATTTCTTCATTGTATATTAGCAGTGATTACTTCAAAGTTTCCTAATGCAATGAAATAATATATACTTAACACTAAGCATAGTGCTGAGAGCATATAAAATGTACAACGTTAACTGCTATTATCATTATTGATATGACCTTTGTGATCAAAACTGGGCCCTCTGAAGACACTGCCATATGTATCTTGTTTACAGACAAAGGAGGATGTCATATACCTTTCCCTTATCTGAAACTGTGTGTGTTTTCAGAATCCCAGCTGAGACTCCTGAGCAGCCCAGGTCACCTGCTTCTCGGATCGCCAATGACAAGGCGGACTGCTTCCTGGGCTGTGGCATGCACCCTCAGCTACCCTCAGCAGGCCACCTGGGCTGGCTCGTGGCCACTCGAGCAAACAGTCTCAAGAAAGCCCAGAACGTATGCCCCATTTGTGACCCGGACCCAGACTGGTTCTTGCTCAGCAGGGCAGGTTCCCAGGCACACTGCCTGCCACCACAGGAAAGCAGATCTGCCAGAAAAGCCCTGCTCCTCCTCTGCCCGGCCCCTTCCTCCCGGTGAGTGTTCGGGCTGGATCAAAGTAACTCTGATTAACACTGTTTCCATGAACAACTTACCATTTATGTCTAATTACCATATAGCAAAATAATGATTATGCATATCATTGAGTATGTGCCAGATTAATTGTGCTGTTCATTGTTATTTGATTATGACAATCATCTAAACTATAATCAGGATAACTTTCATCCTCCATGACTATTTCAAGGTCATCCACATAACAGTTTAAAAACAAGAGAATATTGCAAGGCAGCAGTCTTGGGAAATAAGGTCTATTTCTAAAGCCAGTGTTTAATAATAATAATGATAAGGAATTCCCTGGTGGTTCAGTGGTTAGGACTCCACGCTTCCACTGCAAGGGGCCCGGGTTCAATTCCTGGGCAGGCAACTAAGACCCCGCAACTCATGTGGCTCAGCCAAATAAATAAACTTTTGGGGAAAAAAGTTTTAAATACTTTAACTTTAAAAAATAATAATGGCAGATACATTTGGGGTCCACCAGGGGAGACCTAATGATATTTCATCCTCACTGCAGTCCTGAGACGTATGCATGCAGGTCAGGAAGCAAAAGAACTGGACATGGAACAGCAGACTGGCTCCAAATAGGAAAAGGAGTACGTCAAGGCTGTGTATTGTCACCTTGCTTATTTAACTTATATGCAGACTACATCATGAAAAACCCTTGACTGGAAGAAGCACAAGCTGGAATCCAGATTGCCGGGAGAAATATCAATAACCTCAGATATGCAGATGACCCCACCCTTATGGCAGGAAGTGAAGAGGAACTAAGGAGCCTCGTGATGAAAGTGAAAGAGAAGAGAGAAAAAGTTGGCTTAAAGCTCAACATTCAGAAAACTAAGATCATGGCATTTGGTCCCATCACTTCATGGGAAGTAGATGGGGAGACAGTGGAAACAGTGGCAGACTTTATTTTTTTGGGCTCCAAAATCACTGCAGATGGTGAAATCACTGCAGCCATGAAATTAAAAGATGCTTACTCCTTGGAAGGAAAGTGATGACCAACCTAGATAGTATGTTAAAAAGTAGAGACATTACTTTGCCAACAAAGATCCGTCTGGTCAAGGCTATGGTTTTTCCATTGGTCATGTATGGATGTGACAGTTGGACTGTGAAGAAAGCTGAGTGCCGAAAAATTGATGCTTTTGAACTGTGGTGTTGAGAAGACTCTTGAGAGTCCCTTGGACTGCAAGGAGATCCAACCAGTCCATCCTAAAGGAGATCAGTCCTGGGTGTTCATTGGAAGGACTGATGCTGAAGCTCCAATACTTTGGCTACCTCATGCGAAGAGTTGACTCACTGAAAAAGACTCTGATGCTGGGAGGGATTGGGGGCAGGAGGAGAAGGGGACGACAGAGGATGAGATGGCTGGATGGCATCACCGACTCGATGGGCATGGGTTTGAGTAAACTCCGGGAGTTTGTGATGGACAGGGAGGCCTGGCGTGCTGGGATTCATGGGGTCGCAAAGAGTCGGACACGACTGAGCAACTGAACTGAACTGTCCCGAGAGGTATGGATTGGTTTCCCTGTTTCATAAGGGAAGGGACTGTGGGTGGGCATGTATGTTAACAGTTAACAGAAAGAGTCTGAACTGAATGGAAGGAGAAAGTGGTGAGACCAAGGCTCCCTAGAAGCTGGCAGAGAAAGCTGCATAAAGCAGGCCACAGCCAGTGAGCAAAGAGAAAGATGAAGAAACGCTTTACCCCATCAGCGGCTGTGAGATGATATTGTGAGGGCCAATATAAACAGGCAGCAACAACCTAATGCCTTAAATAAGACAGTCCACACCCACTCACTCTGTACAAAATCCTGAATTCAGCAAGTTTACTATTATGGGGAATTATTTCTGTGTCCAGTAACAAAATCAATTTCCCTCACTCCTTATTTTGTATTCTTTTATATGTACAAGAAGTTCAGTTTTCTAAGAAGGTTAAGATCGTAATACTAAGCAGGTAATGTTTGCTTAGTTTTATAGTTCTCTGCCACCCACAGCAAGACAGTCAAAAGTATATTGGAAAAAAAAAATCCAGCCATTATTTCCTATTATAAAGAAGGTAACAGAACTATGGTTAATGTGAGATATTTATGTAGAAATCCAAGGACCCTAATACTCTCCCTCAAGTATACATGACATTATGATATGTGACAGATTTTTCAGTAGGGTAACTAGGAATCAAATGAGTTCAAATCCTAATTTCATTCCTTAATGACAGTGTGAGCTGGGGTTAGAAACTTCACCCCTCTGAACCTCAGTTTTCCTATCTGTAAAATGGGAGTAGTAATTCCCACCTCATGGAATACTGAGGAATTCAATGGTATAATATAGGCAATGAAATTATCAGCATAATGCCCAGGCATTTACTCAACAATTTTTTGCTATTATTATCACACACTAAATGGTGTATTTATAGGTCTCAATCATTTCAAACAAAAGTATTAAGATCAAATAAGTAAATTCAAAATACCTCAAGGGTTACAAAAGAGAAACTTGCTTGACGGTAGCCTTTCAGAATGTTCTACTTACCCATAAATACATGAAATATCAATGACCACATCGATCATGTCACAGCAGAGCTCGTACGTTTGCATATCCACAGGGGTACTATCTGTTGCAATATAAATCTTACTGACCACATCAAAGAGAAACGCCTTTTCAATTCCAGAATTCTGAAACAAAAGGAGATTCTGCCTTAAAAGGATAGCTGGTTTTAGAGCATGATATGGTTATATAAAATGATACGACATCCTTAGTCTCAAATACGAACTAGCAAAAATTTTGGTTGTTCCATTTTTACAGTTTAAACCTCATTATCATGAACATCTTTATAATGGATTTACTTAAGAAATGAAAACTGAAATTATCGCACAAATTTTACTAATTTTAAATTAAAAGTAGACTTTAAAAGTCTAAGCAAACAAACTCAAAATTGTGCAGTGAGAATCAATGTGAATACAACTAAAGGTCTGTGGTAATTCTACTTTGAGCTGGTAGTTTTTAGGACTCAGCCAGCCACCATATCATTTATTCACAGTGTTAAACAGAGTTTTAAAAATTCAACACCATATATCTTATAGCCAAAATCAACTTTTATTCCCTCTACCTCTGACAGGACTCTTTTAAAACTGAATGATTGCCTACAGCTTCAATAAACATTCCGACTATAACAGTGAAGTATAGGAACTGTTTGGGGAGTTAAATTTTAACGGACCTAAAACAGTATGTAGGCACGATCTTCAAGTGTAATATTTCAGAGACCTTGAAGTACTGTCAGACCAAGTAGAAATAAGATTGTTTTCACTTGTGCAATGTTATTCTTAAATTCCGCGAACGACTCTAATGGGATAATATTATTTACTTACTGAGATAAAGATGTTTAGCAAATTCTCCAGGGTGGGAAGTTGTGGAATCAGTTTCTGAACCACTTTGCTAAAAGCTTCAAATATTGAATGGTCATATATGCTTGTCAGATAAAAGCTGAAAGATGAAACAGTATTTCATCACTTTTTACCTTTGACTGAGGAACAGGCTGTTCAGACTATGTCCTAACACCAGCATCATGCCTTCTGTACTTACTACAGCTCTTGGACACACATTCTAGTCCCTGCAGAAGTCAAAACCACCTTGGTAAAAAATGGACATGAGAATTCCCTGGCGATCCAGGGGTGAGGACAGTACTTTCACTGCCAAGAGCCAGGGTTCAATCCCTGAGTGGGGAGCTAAGTTCCCAGAAGCCATGCAGTGCAGCCAAAAAGAGAACTTATCTTAACAAGACATTTCTGTCCAACTCCCCCAAAGCAAGAAGTGTGCCTCGTCTCTGCTGACTGGCTGGACCAGAAGGCTTAAAAATGCAGATGCATGTGCCTATATCAGCTTCCTTACATTCTCCAAGGGAATCTGCACTAATCATCTTTATACACATCTCTCACATTATAGCAGCTACATTACTGATACTGAAGTACCCAATCTTTTCATTTTTCTAATTTGCCAAATGAATGATGCATACATACTACCCCACAAAAATTATAGAGAAGTGGCTTTCCTCTGTGAATATTTATTTCTATTCGGTTTTTTTAGAGGATTCCTTATGATTATAGATACTACCTATAATAGTAAGCCTTAGCATCGATTAACTTCCGGGATGCAGTGTATGGGTTTTCTCTTCTGTGACTTTCATATGAGGAAGGCTTAGCTTTGATCTTTGGTCATAAAAAAAAAATTTTATGACCCCAATGCTTTTCTGAAACCTTGGAGTTAGCACACGCAAAGCTCACTTTTCCCAAATACCATCCTGATGTCTACAGCACAAAACAGGGCACACGGGTCAGTGGCTGTCCGTGCCAACTGCTCACGGCGACTGTGGGACCCCCGTGCCCCCTGCAGCGTTTCTCTTCTCACCTGAGGTGAATTTTTTCTAGCCCGGCGTCTGCAAGGTCATCATTGGCCCTCTGGTGGATGTCCCTCTGGGTTTCAATTTTGTGGTCATCTGACAGGCCATCCACTTTGTGGATGAACACCTCGAAGTTGATGTCGGTGTTGACTTTGTAGGCCCTGGTCACGGTGAGGTGGAGCCTGGCCAAGGCCTCCATGTAGTCGTCCTGAGAAGAGAGCACAGGGGGTCAGGGAGGCCTCTCTGGGCGGCCTGCCAGCCCCCCGCCTCGCCCCACGCCCAGCCTCACTGAGGTATGACTGACACGCACCGCGTGGATTTAAGGGCCACGGCATGTTTGGATACACACACGGTCGACCGCTACTGTGGGGGCACTGGGCAGAGTTGAGTGGTTCTCCTCTGTAGAAACGCCTCAGAGATAGCACAGCCTGCAAACCTCAAATCATGACCATCTGACCCTTTTTAAAAAGTCTGCTGACCCCTGGGGTCCACAGGAACTGCCCCAAATAATACAACGCTGTTTTTCTTCTCCTTCTACAGATGATACCCATACAATAACACAACGAAGGCCTCTGTGTATGCATCTCTCTGTTTGAGAAGTCAAACAGTAGACATCAAAGCCCCGTGTTTCTCCCCATCCTGCCAGCCAAGCCCATCACTCTATACCACACGTTCCAGAGGTAACCAGTACCCTGACTTCTGCCTTTAGCATCACCCACCTCTTTATACATTACTATTAAGACACACCTATGTATCCTCAAACAATATACAGAATTAATTTACATTATTTAAAAATTTACAGCAATATCAACGTGCCTGCGGATTACAGTTTGCCTTCTCCGTGTCCATTATGTCAGTGAGATTCACCTTTGTTGAAGCGCATAATGAATGCGTGATTCCTAGGAACAGTTCTATAAAATTCCATTGTGGATGGTCTATAATTTGTCACCTACCTGCCTGTTGATGGACATTCAGAATGCTTCCAGTTATGTGTGAGATCAGGAAGATGACAATGTGGCCAGTCTCACACCCAAATCTCTGTGCCTGTTTGTCTCTTAGGGCTTCCCCTGAAGTCAGGCTTGTTGGGTCAAAGGACTGAGCACTTTGAACTCAACTAGATACCATGGAAGAACCCCTGCTCCTCCAGACTCTCACCAGCACCCAGGGTTGTCAGATCTCTTCATCACCGCCAACCTGAAGGGTATGAATATGTCTCAGTTTTTGGGGGTTTTTTTTCCCCCTGGCTTCATGGCTTACAGGATCCAGTTCCCCAATCAGGGATCAAACCTGTGACCCTGGCAGTGGAAGCTCAGAGTCCTAACCACTGGACAACTGGGGAATTCCCCAATAGGACTTGTTTTTATAGCAAAAAGGAAAGGGATCTTCAGAACAACATTTAAAGGAGTTTTCACCCCCTCATTCTGACTCCAAAACTGGACAAATGAAGAAAAGTCAATAAAACAGGGGATGTTTTGGGGCATTCTTGTATTCCCCAAACTAATTAATAAAAATGTAGCCCTATGTATGTGTATGTGTAGCTGAGTCCCTTTGCTGTCCACCTGGAACTATCACAACAGTGTTAATTGACTATGATATAAAATAAGTTAAAAAAAAAAAAATACAGTAGCTGCCCCATTCTGCATTCCTACCAGCAGTGTAGAAGTTTCAGCCATTCTCCATGTTTCCTAACACTTGGTATTACCAGTTGGGTGGTTTGTTTTTGTCTTTTTCAATTTTGGCCATTCTCATTGGCATGGGGTGGTATCTCACTGTAGTTTTGATTTGCATTTTCCTAATAAGTAGTGATTTTGAGCATCTTTACACGTGCTCACTTGCTAACTGTATGTCTGGTTTGGCCATGTGTCTATTAAAATACTTTGCCCATTAAAAAAAAAATGTATCCCCAGTCTTTAGATAAATCAAAATACTAAGATACTAACAGGAAACTATGAAGGGAGAAAAAGACCAGACAGTCATTATCATCCTTCACATTCTAAAGAGCTGTTTAAAATGAAAAATAAACACTGGACGCTGTGGCGTGGTTTAGTCACATCTGACTCTTGCGACCCCATGGACTGTAGACCACCAGGCTCCTCTGTCCATGGCATTCTCCAGGCAAGAGTACTGGAGTGGGTTGCCATTTCCTCCTTCAGGGACTGGATGCTGGGCTAAGCATTTTGGAGAAATTCTAGTTTAATAATTTGGGGCACTTTTTTAACACATTATAATATCTCAAATAAAAAACAAAGTCATGATTATACAATTCCACATATAGAAATTCTAGACAAGGCAAACTATTCTATAGAGACAGAAAGCACATCGTATCAGCCTGAGGCTGGAACCTGGGCAGGGTTGGGGGGTACATCTGAGAAAGGCCACAAAGGAAGCTTTCAGCGAGGTGGAAACATTCTTAAAGTCAGAAGGTGGTTAGAAGGAATATAGTGGTTGAACTGTGCACTAAAAATGAATGTAACTTGGGACTTTCCTGGTGGTCCAGTGGTTAAGAATCTGCCGTGCAGTGTAGGGCACGTGGGTTCAATCCCTGGTCAGAGAACTAAGATCCCACATGCTGCAACCAAGACCCAATGCAGCCAAGTAAATATTTGGTTAAAAAGTGAGTGCCATTCACTGTGTGGAAGTTACACTTCAACGAGTGTTATTGGTTATGTCTCCAACTGAAGAGAGGTGTGAAGGGCATGTGTCTGTAAGCAGAAGCAGCCAACGTCAACAGTGTATCATGATCTCAAGAGACTAGAAATCATTCCTCTAACCTCCCTGCCAAGCGCATGAAATGGTCTGATTACCAGCAAACTGATGAAGTGACACAGATCTAAACGAGCTAAAAAATGACATGACAAAGAAGAAAACATCTGATTACTAGAGCAGAGAGACGGTGAGTGATTTTTTTCTCCTACTGTGCTTATTATCTTCTACAACAAATTTTTAAAAAGGAAAAACACATTGCCTGGCTCCTATTCTAAAATTAGATCTAGGGATTACGGGCAGGTCACAACCGCAGTCACCAACATGAGTTAAGCCAACACTCTAGTCTGGACCCCAAGCACCTGTGAAGTCGCTCCCGGGGCAGGGTGGGGGTGCGTCCCTGGGCGCTCAGTGGCAGAGTCCGCCTGCCCGTGTAGGAGACACAGGTTCAAGCCCTGGTCTGGGAAGACCCCACGGGCCACAGAGCAACTAAGCCAGCGCGCCACAACCACTGAGGCCGCGCTCTAGAGCCCGTGATCGACAAGAGCAGCCGTCACACCGCGGCTAGAGAGCCGCCCCCCACCCCAGTCTCTGCCACCAGAGGAGAGCCCGGCGGCAGTGCAGACACAACACGGCCACATAATAGGATTATTGAAAAAAAGGAGCGACGGCTCCTGGGTGGGGGGCGGGGGCCCTGGAGACGTGCCACATTCTGTGGGCGGCCTGGGGCGGGCAGTTCACGGGACATCACGCCTGATGCTTTCGCCCTCTTTTATTTCACAACATTATGGGAGGACACACTTTTCTCCTTGGTGATATATGTATCTGGCAATCCTGCGATTGTGAGGAATTCACAAGCAGAAAATAAAACTAGGAGGTGTCAGACAAACAGAATCCTGCTTAGAGCCCTGCGCCGACCTTCAAGAGTTGCTGAGATCCTTTCCTCCAGTTCGGTTTTGTTTAGTGCTTGCAATCACAACAAGTAAAGATCCCCACAAATGGGACTTTTTACAGTCTGCTTCCAACAGAAAAGTCTATTAGGCAGACTTGAAAACTGCTTCGTTAAAGTTAAATATTCCTTATTTTTAGTAAATGACAACTTTTAACAATGCTTTTCGCTATCTTTTAAGAAGTGTAACTTCAAAAGATGTATTTCTTACTCTTACTCATTTCGTTGCCCTGTGGCCGGAACACAACCCAGCAGCCCAAACAAAACCCAGCAAGCCAAGAAACAAAACAAAGAACACGTTTACCAACCCCACTGAAAGTCCACTTTTCACGCTCAGGTTAAATTAAAACCGAATTACAGCTGCAATTTAAAAATCAGGCAAAAAAAAGCCCTAAAAATAGAAAATAAAAATTGGCAAGTGTGGGAAGGAGAGGCATAAATTCGTAATTTGGGATGAACATATACACTCGCAGTCCTGTCCGATTCTCTGTGACTCCGTGGACTGGGGCCCCCCAGGCTACTCCGTCCAGGGCACTCCCCAGGCAAGAATACTGGAGTGGGTTGCCATTCTCCACTCCACACTATCTTCGCAACCCAGGCATCGAACTGATGGCTCTTGCATTTCCTGCATTGGCAGGCGTGACCTGGGAAGCCCAACATATACACACTGCTTTATATAAAATAGATAACCAACAAGAACCTGCCGTACAGCACAAGGAAGTATATTCAAGATTCTGTAACAACCTAGAAGGAAAAGAATCTGAAAAAGAATAATACATATATATTCTTTAATATATATCACCCGAAGCTAATACAATATTGTAAATTAACTATATTTCAATCAAACCAAAAAGGGGAGATAACTGAGGCAATAAAAACACCCTAAACAATGAAAAAAACTGGCAAGTGTCCCTATTTTATCACATTAAAGCTGTATTATCAACACCTGAGACAGAGGTACACTGGCAATTCAAATCCCATAAGTGTAGGTTTTATGTATACACAATCTGGTACTGATGTGAAGTGCTTCCTGAGCCTCAGTCCCGAAGTGACGTGTCAGGGCTGGAATCTACTTACCCAGGGGCAGGGCCACTAGTGCCGACACCCCATGCAGCAGCCGCAAGACTCGGCGAGAGAAGGGGCTGAGAGGGGACAGAGGAGCGGGACAGCTCGGGAGCTCCCCCTCCCCACGAGTGGCTTGTCCACCGCTCGCCGCTCCTCTTGGGCTTTAAGCTTCCTGACTCCTGGTGCTGGCCAACCTCAGACAGGAAGAAGGGGATACTGCCAAAACCACAGAGGGGCCAGGAAACAGGTCAGGATGAGCAGGACAGCCAGCAAAGTGTGGCTCCCAGCAGCGCCTGGACCCAATGAAGGTGCTGCTGATAAGTCGATTCAGTCGTGTCCGACTCTCTGTGACCCCATAGACGGCAGCCCACCAGGCTCCCCCATCCCTGGGATTCTCCAGGCAGGAACACTGGAGTGGGTTGCTATTTCCTTCTCCAATGCATGAAAGTGAAAAGTGAAAGTGAAGTCGCTCGGTCGTGTCTGACTCTTTGCGACCCCATGAACTGCAGCCTACCAGGATCCTCCATCCATGGGAATTTCCAGGCAAGAATACCGGAGTGGGGTGCCGTTGCCTTCTCTGAATGAAGGTGCTAGAGGCGCGCATCTCTAGATGGGCCCACAGGAAGAGAGGCAGGCTGTCCATGGATCAGATATTGGAATGGACAGCCTCCCTAGCCCACTACCCCACACACAAAGGAGAAAAAGAACTTCTAACCATCCAGCCATGCTCCCACGGCTCTACAAGTTCACCGTGCAGTCACTTGGAACTAAAAGGCTGAGTTGCAAATTTCATTATTACATTAAACAGGCACCTCGATCCACGAGTGAGTTTACAATGCTTTCAGGCATGAGCAGTCTTGTCCGAGAATAGTTTTGCAAGCATGGACTCAGAACCATTATTACCGATGGTCTTCACAGCCCTGCCTTCCCAACACGACCGGGCTCGCAAGAGGCTCAGCCCCACCTGTCCATTTGCAGGTCTACAATTTCAGGCAAACATTGAGACCTGAGCTTAGAGTTGGCTTAGGGCATTCCTGTAGGACTCGTTACCTTTTAACCCCCTGCAGCTGCAAAAGAGCGCCCTCGGGAAGGCCTTCTGGCTGGCCCTCCGTCGGGGATACGTTCTAAGAGTAACTACACGTCGAACAGTTTGAAAAACATCAATGTCAATGTCCCAGTCTGCTAACTGTGCTCCTTCCTAAGACTGACCTGCCTGAGATGCATCTTTAGTCCTGCTTTTTCCCTCTCCTCCAGCCCTTACACCATCAGCCCCCTCCCCCACTTCACAGGAGAATGGCCCAGGGTACCAAAGAGATCATTCAGAAAGCTGGTCTGAACACCAATAAAGTGAGTGACTTTCAAGCCTGGGTGATAAGGTTCTTCTCCAGACAAGCGGCTCCCAATTCTTTGCTTTCAGCAAAGTTAAAATGAAAATACAATCAGGATTGTCTACTGATAAACCACAAAAAATATTTTTTTGTGTGATAGAAAATCAGGTAACCTAGGGGATACAACTTGGAAGGAATTTAAATAACTGAGTGAATGCTAGAGCAAAAATCACCCCATAGCCACCTCATGTGAACAAGGTTTTCAGTACAAACAGAAACCAAAAATAGAACTGATGCTAAATCCTTAGTCAAGCACCGATACACAGATTGAGTAGAAAAAAACATATGTATCTCAAACTTCACATTTTGCATTTAGTTACCTCTGAAATACATGCTAGTCACGCTGCCTTAACGGTGTACTAGCAGGAACTGCAATAGTTTGATTCAGAAGAAAAATGTTCACACTCAGAGAACTCTATCTTCACAGGAAACAGTAAACACTTTGAAACGTAGCTAATCATGTATTTTCGTTGCAGAGAACCTGTGATCTTTCAGAGACATCTGCCAAGAGCACCTGCTTTCATGGCCATCACGGCGGTCCCCTCCCGCCGGGACGTCCTCTCTGGGCTTGCCGAGAGCACACGGTTCCCGAACACTGCTTGTGGTCAGGGCTGCGTGTAGGGAGATTTTTCTTCCCCTTTCCAAAGCCAGCCAGCCACAGCTGAGAAATGCTAGTCTGGTAGAAATGCCTACTCCTGACCCTAAAACCCAGACCCAAACGATCGCAAAGGGTCGGGCATTGCAGTCCCACCAGACACCGAGATGGAGCCTTACCTGGGAGTCTATTACAAATATCAGTGCTCCAGTCCCTCGGAAGATCATCTCATAGTCAAAGGTGGGGTCAAAAAAGTCAATCTGTCCTGGGAAGTCCCATATCTGAAAATTAACAAAGGAGCTGTTGGAAACGTCCTCTCGGCAGATCTTGTTCGTGCTCTCCAAGAACAGAGTTTCATTGGGAGACATTTTATGAAAGACGACTTTCTGGATGGATGACTTGCCGCTCCTTCTCAGGCCCATGAGCAGGATCCTCGGCTTCACCTCCGTGCTGAAGGGGTCGCTAAAGTCCAGAACTGGGAAAACCACAAACAAGAAGGAAGGTGAGAGGCCGTCACAGTGGTTAGCGAGAGGAGTTTCACTTCCGCCTTACACACCATTTATGACCCACAGACAAAACTACCTTTTCAAGTACAGAAAGAGCAAACTCCATCACTCCTTCATCAAGAGGCTAGCTTTTAGCAAGTGAAAAACCCTGAAAAATGCTGCATCACCATCTCTCACACCATCTCAGAGGGCCAGAAAACCTGGGCAATTCCCCATCACAAGCAGGAACTCTAGCGTGTGAAGACTGGAGGTTTCCTGGAACAGACTATATAGGGAAAGAATCCATCTTAGCATTCCATAAAGTCCTTCTTTGCCGAGATTATCAGTGTTTGCTAAAGAGGTGCTTGCTTATTTGAATTATGCCTCAAAGAAACAATTTTGGACTTCATCGAAATTTAAAACCTTGTTGCTTCAAAGGACACATCAAAAAGTGAAGACAATCCAGAGTATCAGAAAACATTTGCAAATCATATATATGATAAGGGTCTAGTAACCAGAATATATAAAGAACTCTTACAATTCAACAATAAAAAGATAACCCAATAAAAATGTTAAAGGATTTAAATAGACATTTCTCCAAAGATACACATACGCCTATTAAACACATGAAAAGATGCTCAACATCATTAGTCATAACGGCAATACATGTGGAAAAAATGTGATGCCACATCATACCCCACTAGGATGGGTTAAAAAAGATTGACAATAGCAAGTGTTGGTGAGAATGTCAGGAAATGGGAACTCTCATACGCTGCTGGGGATAACATAAAATGGTGTGCTTTGAAAAAACAGTTTGGCAGGTCCTCAAAAGCTTAAACATTGAGTCACCATATGATCCAGCAATTCTAGTCCTAGAAGTAAAGAACTTACATATGTCCAAGCAAAAATCTGTACATGAGTGTTCAGAGCAGCACTACTCATAATAGCCAAAAAGTAGGAACAATCCAAAGGCCATCAGCTGAAATAGGAACAAAATGTGGCATGCCCATATAATGGAATATTATTCAGCCATTAAAAAGGAATGAAATATTGATTGGTGCCACAACATGATGAATGTTGAAAACGTTATGCTAAATGAAAGAAGACATAAAAGGTCACAAATTGTTTGATTCTGTTTATATGAAAAGTCCACAACAGACAGATTCATAAAGACAGAAGGTGCTTCGTGGTTGCCAGGGGCTGGAGAGCGGGGGAAATGGGAAGTGACCATAATGGTTATGTGTTTTCTTTGGGGTGATGAAAATGTTCTGGAATTAAACAGCAGTGATGTTTGCATCCCTTTGTGAATATACTAAAACCACTGATCTATATACTTGAAAAGGCAAATATTGTGGTATGTGAAATATATTCCAACTTTAAAAAAAAAAAAACAGCTTCATGACTGACAAAAATAAAAGACCAAGTATAAAACCCAGTGAAAGATCAAGAAAAGAAACCAACGTTTTAAGAAAAAGGCAGAATATAGACAAAGACAGAAATGTGGCATTCATGAAACAAGGACAGTTCAGAAAAAGAGCAGTTATGGAAAAGGGTCTTAATGGATCTCAGAAACAGAAATGTAATTGGCAGGAGGGGAGGATATATGAATTGAAAAGCAGAATAAGCAGATGAACATGGCATCAGGGAAAGTCAAAGTCTCTCAGAACACAGTACAAAGGGACAGAACAACAGAAAGTATGAAGTAAAGGTAAAAGCAACATCAAGAATAAAATTTGAAAGTCCCATTATTCTTCAAACAAGTTCCAAAAAGAAAAATTACAGAATATGGGGGAAAGCAATACTAAATAGATAATCCTTTTCCAATTAAAATGAACATGCCCACAAAGTAAAAAAGAGAAATTTAAACAAAAACATCACCACACGAAGAATAATTATAGTAAAACTTCAAAACATCAAGGATAATAATAAAGTCCTTTAAACTATGAAAAGAGGAAAACTATTACCTACAAAGGAATCATAAAGACATCAGACTTTTTAACAACATGAAGACGAGAGTATCATACATCAAGGACTGAAGGAAAATATCTTTCACCCCAGATTTATATACCCAGTCATACTATGTCTCAAATGTAGGAGTGCAACAAAGATGTTTTCCAGGAATTCCCTGGCAGTCCAGTAGTAAAGACTGCAAGTTTCCACTGCTGGGAGGCCCAGGGTTCGATCCCTGATTTGGGAATTAAGATCCTGCAAGGCTCATGGTGCAGCCAAAAAAAATAAATGTTTTCAGACATCAAAGGACTCTGAAAGCTTACTGCCTACTTAATCTCTTTGAAAGAATTACTCAAGGATACACTCCTGAAAGAAAATACACTCAAATATAATAAAATGCAATAAGCAATGGAAGACAAATTTTATTGAAACCTATTAATTTAAAATAAGTATTGATTTTAAATTTTGGAATAAAAAATTGGAAACTAAAATTCCAGATAAGGCAGACATGGGAGATTGGTGAGAGAGAGGGAGACAGAAAGTAACAGAATAGTATGGTTTTTGTTAGGAAAGCACAGTTGCGTATCAATTTTTTTTTTCAATTTTTTAAAATAGAAGAATAAGCTTCTCAAAATATAAAACAGGTGCATCATATTAAATTATGTATGACCACAAAAATATTTCAGTGCTTATAGATGTCTTCATCTCTTCTCAGTTTATACTGCTGGATGTAGGTGCAGATTTTAACTTCTCTTCAGCAAGGTCTGCAAGACTCTATGTGGCATGATCACCGACAGCGCTGCCCTGGAGGCGGGCCCTCTTCCCCCTGGGAATGTGGAGGTGATGGAGACCATTGTGGAAAGGGAAGGGAATGTGCATGCGTGTTTACATACACAGAGTGGCTGGGAAGTGAAATATACATATGGTTGTAATACACACACACAGCTGGAAGCATTTTCCCCTGGCCAAATTCAAGCATGCGCCGCCAACTACAAACAGCTGGGAAATGGTGAGTCAGATCAGCAAGTGCACCATCAACTCTGGAGAGACCCCTACACTGACCCCCACGCAGATGCATTTTATCATAGTTAACTATGGCTGTTCAGTTGCTCAGTCGTGTCCAGCTCTTTGCAACCCCAGGGACTGTAGCCCGCCAGGCTCCTCTGTCCCTGGGATTTCCCAGGCAAGAATACTGGAGTGGGTTGCCATTTCCTCCTCCAGGGCAGGCTTCCCGGGAGGTGCTAGTGGTAAAGAACCTACCTGCCAATGCAGGAGACAGATCAGACAGGTTCAATCCCTGGGTCAGGAAGATCCCCCTGAGGAGGAAATGGCAACCCAATCCAAATATTCTTGCCTGGAAAATGCCATGGTCAAAGGAGCCTGGCGGGCTAAAGTCCCTGGGGTCGCAAAGAGCTGGACACGACTGAGCACACACACTGCAGGGCATCTTCCCGACCCAGGGACGAAACCCACGTCTCTGGCATTGGCAGGTGGATCCTTTCCCACTGAGCCACCTTGGAAGCCCGTATTTAACTGGCATGTACCGTAATACACTGTGTGCCAGGGACCTCGCTAGACACGTCTACAAACTCTACCCACCCAATGAGGAAGAACAAGTCTGTTCTACCCCTACTTGGGGCAATGAACCGGCCCAAGGTCACAGGACTGGTATGTACTAGCGCCCTCGTCCAGGGCCTTAGCCACCAATCAGCTGGCATTCAACTAAAACTGCAACGAAGACAAAAGAAAGACTAGAAAATACCAGAGTGTGTTACGCATGACAAGAGTAAACGCTGCCAGGGGAACTCTTACATTTACTTATCCGTAGGTGGGTGCTGTTTCACAATATAAATGCATTTTTTTTATTGTGGACCCACGGTCAGGAAGTTGTGTATGCCACAGCTGTTGATCGGGGAGGTTTCTTACATCAGAAATGCCTGCTGACGAGACTACCCTGGTGGCCCAGTAGTTAAAAGACTCCACATTTTCACCGTAGGGGGGAACGAGTTTGAGCCCTGCTCAGGGAACTAAGATCCTGCATGATGCATGGCTCGGCCAAAAAAGGAAAAGCCTGCTGGCAAAAAATCTTCCTTCTAATCCTCCCCAACTCCCTCAAACATCCCTGCTCTGAAATCCTACGGGGTCTCAGAGATCTCTTTCTACTCTGGGGTGGGCAGTCAGGGTCCCATCAGGAAGGGAAACACCCGCGGGTCTCTGGCAGAGGGCCGCCCTGCACCCCTCATCACGCTTCCCCGAGCTGCACTCACTTGCTCAAGTTCGGTGAGAATCACCTGAGGAAAGGGAGCCGTTAAAGAGAATGAAGAGCTGCTTTGAACACGACGAGAGGGCCATTATGTATTTCCTTATGTATTTTAAGGAAAACCAGAAAGGAACTACAGAAAAAATCTGGGACTAGAGCTGGGACCCCAGAAAAGGCTCTTTAAAAGTGTCGGTGCGGGTTTGCAGGAAGTTGCCCGAGCGAGGTGAAATTTACAAGAGGGCAGTCTGCTCCATGAAGGTTCCCTGAACGGCTGCCAAGTCCGACAGGGCTGAGGCCGGGGCTGCAGACACACAGGGCTGAGGCCGGGGCTGCAGACACAAAGAAAAGCTCCATTTCTTAGTGATTCGAGAGGAAAACACAAGGAAAACCGTCAGCTTTACAATGCACTGCTATCTAGGTGTTGTGGGGTCAGCAAGAAGGCTCCCTGGAGAAATCACAGCGGAGTCTTCTAGGCGAGGAGGCCTAAAAGAGATGCATGAGGCAAAGGGCGTGCCAGGAAGAAATCTGGCCTTCCTGGAGTTTAAGGAACATAGTCTAAAGACAAGAAAATCCTGTCCACTCTCCAGAGGCCTCCCATAGAACTCAGAATAAAATCCGAATGCCTCCTTTCCCTAAAAGGCCCCAGGTGGGCTGCCCTCTCATCCCACGCCCGGTTCATCCTCCCTACCCGTTCCCCCGTCCGGCAGGCTCGCTGGCCTTCTGCTTCCTCACCTTCGGACCTCCACTCGCTCCACTCTCCCCAGGCCTCCCCGGGCTCCT